AAAGATTTCTATTCTCACAGTTGTTAGTTGTTGAGGATGTATAATATTATATTGAGTGGAATATAAGTCAAACGAAATCAAATAACTATTCACATAGAAACTTGTTTTGGACAAAGAACAAAGCACACAAGATACCAAAATACAGTATAGATATAGACCAAGATTTGTAGTTTTATTTATGCTTTGATATTTTTGCTCATGTAGACCAGTTTAGGTGGAAATCTCTTGTTCACTAATGAATCATTTTAATTGAGTGGGTATATATTTAGAGCTTCTAAATTGTGATAAAGCTAACTATAAAGAATAATAAAGTCCACGCAAACAACTGCAATATGGATGAAAAAAAAATGAATACATGCCCAGTAGGGGCAACCATTCATAGTTATTGGAAATACTATAGGCGTGATTTGTCATTAAACACAGAGACATCATTACTGAACGATTATTGCTTTTTATGCCAATATGGATAATCGATCACTAAACATTTTCCAATCTTGTAGTGCATTAGGATATAAACAGTATATATAATTAGCTAATTATATTCTCATGATGTTTAACCCAGTATTTATATTGTGAGATTACAGATATTTTTTTTTCAGTGTTCCCATTTTTTGAGATACGCCATTATGTTGCAAAAAATCAACGGCACAAGCTGAAATTCAAAATTGGGGTTTTTTATTATGAATGCCAGAAATTAAACAAATGAATTCTATATAAATAAAGGGGGGGTTTTGAATTATCACATTATATCTTTTAATTTTTGAATTATTTTGATTATTCAAGGAACCTAAAATATATCAGGCATAAGTGCAAGGGGGCCCATAGGTGTGCGAAATATTTCTCCCCGAATTCTTTATCGATATAATTGCATAATGATATGCAATTTGAAAAAAAAAAAAAACAAATATTTCTTAATTTAATGTTAATACATATATTAAATGCTACATCTACGCAATTTCAATTATTATCACAATAAAAAATTATTAAAATTTTTATTTATGCATAAATAGGCAAATGTTTATATAGAAATATAATAATTATCATATGTATATGCATTAATATAATTAGTTATACAACGTAAATTAATAACTATAGTTCAAAAAGATAAGATATAAATTAAGTTTCATAATTAAATATCTGACCCATTTATCCCCCAATTTCCCAGGATCCAACCAACTTAATATCCATACTAATTATACACGATTTTACATGAAATTATTAAGTATTAACAGCTTTATACAGTGTTAATTTGGCTTCATTGAAAAACATTAGCAAAATAAAACACCAAAAACAATATAATAACTGAAGTTACAAACATAAAACAACAAAATAGATTAAAACCAACCACAAAAAACCCACCTGCAGGTGGATCACTGACTTCCCGACAGACAGCAAGCAGCAAAGTGCGTCTGGGGAAGAATGTCTCGGACTCTCGGATTATAAATACAGGCGCCCCACAGGGCTGTGTTCTTTCTCAATCAATCAATCAATCAAAGTTTATTTGTAGAGCGCCTTTCATACACAGGGCAACACAAAGCGCTTCACAGTCCACATCACAAAAATCATCACATAAAAACAAACACCAGAATCACAATTAAAACATTAAAATCACACAAAAGATTAAAACCATTAAAACTTTCAAAATTACACAAGGAATTTAAAAAAATAAATAAATAAATGACAACAGTGCATTAGAAATGGAGATCCTTCAGTTGTATGCACAGGAAAACAGAACAGTCTTTAACCTGGATTTGAACATTGACAGAGTAGACGTCTCTCTCACATGTTCAGGGAGATTGTTCCAGATCTTAGCTGCATGGATCTGAAACGGATCCATGCAAGGAAATTTATTGGATAATTTAAACTTTTTTAACAAATAAACTGTAAAGTGGGGCGTGCAATATTATTCGGCCCCTTTACTTTCAGTGCAGCAAACTCACTCCAGAAATTCAGTGAGGATCTTTGAATGATCCAATGTGGTCCTAAATGACTGATGACGATAAATAGAATGCACCTGTGTGTAATCAAGTCTCCATATAAATGCACCTGCTCTTTGATAGTCTCAGGGTTCTGTTTAAAGCACAGAGAGAACCGTGAAGACAAAGGAACACACCAGGCAGGTCCGAGATACTGTTGTGGAGAAGTTTAAAGCCGGATTTGGATACAAAAAGATTTCCCAAGCTTTAAACATCTCAAGGAGCACTGTGCAAGCAATTATATTGAAATGGAAGGAGTATCAGACCACTGCAAATCTACCAAGACCCGGCCGTCCCTCCAAACTTTCATCTCAAACAAGGAGAAGACTGATCAGAGATGCAGCCAAGAGGCCCATGATCACTCTGGATGAACTGCAGATAACTACAGCTGAGGTGGGAGAGTGTGTCCATAGGACAACAATCAGTCGTGCACTGCAAAAATCTGGCCTTTATGGAAGAGTGGCAAGAAGAAAGCCATTTCTCAAAGATATCCATACAAAGTCTCGTTTAAAGTTTGCCACAAGCCACCTGGGAGACACACCAAATATGTGGAAGAAGGTGCTCTGGTCAGATGAAACCAAAATCGAACTTTTTGGCCACAATGCAAAACGATATGTTTGGCGTAAAAGCAACACAGCTCATCACCCTGAACACACCATCCCCACTGTCAAACATGGTGGTGGCAGCATCATGCTTTGGGCCTGCTTTTCTTCAGCAGGGACAGGGAAGATGGCTAAAATTGATGGGAAGATGGATGGAGCCAAATACAATGATCCAAAACATAAAGCCAAATCTACAATGGAATGGTTCACAAATAGACGTATCCAGGTGTTAGAATGGCCAAGTCAAAGTCCAGACCTGAATCCAATCGAGAATCTGTGGAAAGAGCTGAAGACTGCTGTTCACAAACGCTCTCCATCCAACCTCACTGAGCTCCAGCTGTTTTGCAAGGAAGAATGGGAAAAAATTCCAGTCTCTTGATGTGCAAAACTGATAGACATACCCCAAGCGACTTGCAGCTGTAATTGCAGCAAAAGGTGGCGCTACAAAGTATTAGCGCAAGGGGGGCCGAATAATATTGCACGCCCCACTTTTCAGTTTTTTATTTGTTAAAAAGTTTAAAGTATCCAATAAATTGCGTTCCACTTCACGATTGTGTCCCACTTGTTGTGGATTCTTGACAAAAAAAATAATTTTTATATCTTTATGTTTGAAGCCTGAAATGTGGCGAAATGTTGAAAGGTTCAAGGGGCCGAATACTTTCGCAAGGCACTGTATATCTGAGTGTCGTCAGCGTAATTGTGGTAGGACACTTTGTTTCTTTGTATTAACTGACCTAACGGCAGCATGTAGAGATTAAATAAGAGAGGTCCCAGGATCGACCCCTGTGGCACTCCACAGGTCATGGCCACATGATCTGTGGAGTGCTTACCTTGAAGATCTGTGATCTTCAAGGTAATCAATCAATCAATCAATCTTTATTTATAGGGCGCTTTTCCTGCACAGGGCAACACAAAGCGCCTCACAGTCCACACCACACAATGCACAAATCATCACCATTAAAATACAATTAAAAACACATATGTAATTAAAAAGCATTAAAATCACATAAGTAATTTAAAAACATAAGAATCACACAAGTAATTAAAAACAATAAAATAGTTAAAAACACAAAAAGTTACAACAATAAATAACAAGGTGTGTTAAAAAGATAAAATTCTCTAGTTGTATGCACAGGAAAAAAGAAAAGTCTTTAACATGGATTTGAACATTGACAGAGAGGCAGCCAGTCTCACATCCTCAGGAAGACTGTTCCAGACTTTAGCTGCATAAATCTGAAAAGCAGCCTCCCCCTGTCTAGTCCTGACTCTGGGCACTAACAGGAGTCCCGTCCCTGCGCTCCTCAGAGTCCGGGCTGGTTCATATGGGACTAGCATATCATGGATGTACTTTGGTGCAAGGCCATGGAGAGACTTGTACACCAGGAGAGCTGCTTTAAAGTCTATCCTCTGGGCCACGGGAAGCCAGTGCAGAGACCTGAGGACCGGACTAATGTGGTCGTACTTCCTGGTTCTAGTCAGGACTCGGGCTGCAGCATTTTGAATATACTGCAACTGTTTTACTGCATGTTTGGAGATACCTGTGAGCAGGCCATTGCAGTAATCCAGCCTACTGGAAACAAAAGAATGGATAAGAATCTCCAAGTCTGCCCTGGACACAATATTTTTAATTTTGGCAATATTTTTCAGATGATAAAAAGCTGCTGATGTTACCGATCCAATGTGGCTATTGAAGTTTAAGTCAGAGTCCATTATTACTCCCAGATTTCTGACCTTATTTAAAGGCCTTAGGGAGAGAGACTGAAGGTGACAAATGACGGTCTCTCTTTGTTTCTCGGGACCAAAGACAATCATTTCGGTTTTGTCCGCATTTAGCTGGAGAAAATTGCATTGCATCCACTCACTGATCCGCTGGATACAGCGAAGGAGTGAGTCCACCGGTCCATGTTCTCCTGCAGTCAGTGAGACATAGATCTGAGTGTCATCAGCGTAATTGTGGTAGGACACTTTCATACTTTGAATTAACTGACCTAATGGCAGCATGTAAATATTGAACAGGAGAGGTCCCAGAATCGACCCCTGTGGCACTCCGCAGGTCAGGGCCATATTATCTGAGACATAGTCTCCAATCTCCACACAATACTTCCTTTCTTCTAGATAGGACCTAAACCAGCTTAGGGCGGTACCAGCAACACCAACCCAGTCCTCCAGTCTCTGCATGAGAATCTCATGGTCAACGGTGTCGAAAGCGGCACTCAGATCTAACATGACTAAAACAGAGACTTTTCCTGCATCAGTGTTAAGCCGAATATCATTTGTTACCTTGACTAGAGCGGTCTCAGTACTGTGGTGTGGTCTAAAGCCAGACTGAAACATGTCAAATGAGTCATTAGATATTAAAAATTCAGTAAGTTGTTGGTAGGCAACTTTTTCAAGAATTTTTCCCATGAAAGGCAGATTTGAGATGGGACGGTAATTTTCAAGTCCCGCAGCATCCAAATTGCTCTTTTTTAGGAGGAGCCTGATGACTGCCTTTTTCAGGGCCATTGGAAATGTTCCAGATAAAAAAGACATGTTTACTATTTGTGTCAATGAGGGTAATAGACTACACATAACAGACTTCAGGAATCTAGGAGGTAGTACATCCAGACTGCAGGTAGAGGAACTAAGACCTGTGATTATCTTTTCGTTAAAAAGATAATCATCATTGACAGGTGCAAATTGAGCTAGCTCGCAAAGCCTCACTGGATGTTGCATTGTTACTTGTGTTGTAGAGGTGATGGCATTTCTGATACCCTGAACCTTGTCTCTGAAGAACTGTGCAAACTCATTACACCTGGATTTGGAGTAGTGTTCTAATGGCAACTCAACAGGGGGGTTCGTTAATCTATTGATTGTTGAAAATAGAACACGCAGATTGTTGCTGCAGCCTTCAATAGTTTCAGAAAAGTATAATTCTCTTGTTCTACGTAGTACTCTGTTAAACTCACACAACTTCTCTTTTAAGAGTTTATAATCACCCTGGAGGTTGGACTTTCTCCACTTTCTCTCTGCTCTCCGGCACTCTTGCTTCTGTGCCCTGACCGGGCCTGCTTTTATCCATGGGGCTTTTTGCTTATTTGTGACCATTTTTACCTTCACCTAAGTTGGTTTAGGTAAGACCTAAACCAACTTAGGGCGGTGCCAGTGACACCAACCCAGTCCTCTAGTCTCTGCATGAGGATCTCATGGTCGACAGTGTCGAACGCGGCACTAAGATCTAACATGACCAAAACTGTGACTTGGTCGAATGTCGTTTGTTACCTTCACTAGAGCGGTCTCAGTGCTGTGGTGGGGTCTAAACCCAGACTGGAACATATCAAAAGAATTATTCATTGTTAAAAAATCAGTAAGTTGTTGGGAGGCCACTTTTTCAAGAATTTAGGGTTAGAGTTAGTCTCTACAGTCGCTACAGTCTCTTCAGTCTCCTCTACAGTCTCTACAGTCTCCTCTACAGTCTCCACAGTCTCTAAGTAAGTAAGTAATCTTTATTTATATACCGCCTTTTCACTGCACATCGGAGTCTCAAAGCAGTTTACAATTGTTATTTTTGGGAGTGGGGGTGCCAGAACAGGAGGCACATGCCAGACCTATTGTGCATATTTTTTATTGGTAGGGGAAACCGGAGTACCCGGAGGAAACCTACGCAGACACGGGGAGAACATGCAAACTCCACTCAGAAAGGCCCTGGTCCGACCAGGATTTGAACCCAGGACCTGCTTGCTGAGAGGCGAGAGTGCTATCCACTCAGCCACCGTGCCGCCCGTCTCTACAGTCTCTACAGTCTCCTCTAAAGTCTCTACAGTCTCCTCTACAGTCTCCTCTACAGTCTCTACGGTCTCCTCTACAGTCTCTACCGTCTCCTCTACTGTCTTTACCGTCTCCTCTACAGTCTCTACAGTCTCCTCTAAAGTCTCTACGGCCTCTTCTACAGTCTCCTCTACTGTCTCTACAGTCTCCTCTACAGTCTCCTCTACAGTCTCCTCTACAGTCTCCTCTACAGTCTCCTCTACAGTCTCCTCTACAGTCTCTCCCGTCTCCTCTACTGTCTTTACCGTCTCCTCTACAGTCTCTACGGCCTCTACAGTCTACAGTCTCTACAGTCTACAGTCTCCTCTAAGGTCTCCTCTACAGTCTCTACGGTCTCCTCTACAGTCTCCTCTACAGTCTCTAAGTAAGTAAGTAAGTAATCTTTATTTATATACCGTCTTTTCACTGCACATCGGAGTCTCAAAGCGGTTTACAATTGTTATTTTTGCGAATGGGGGTGCCAGAACAGGAGGCACATGCCAGACCTATTGTGCATATTTTTTAGTGGTAGGGGAAACCGGAGTACCCGGAGGAAACCTACGCAGACACGGGGAGAACATGTAAACTCCACTCAGAAAGGTCCTGGTCCGACCAGGATTTGAACCCAGGACCTTCTTGCTGAGAGGCGAGAGTGCTATCCACTCAGCCACCGTGCCACCCGTCTCTACAGTCTCTACAGTCTAGTCTCTACAGTCTCCTCTAAAGTCTCTACGGTCTCCTCTACAGTCTCTACAGTATCTACAGTCTCCTCTACAGTCTCTACAGTCTCTCTACAGTCTCTACAGTCTCCTCTACAGTCTCTTCTACAGTCTCTACAGTCTCTTCTACAGTCTCTTCTACAGTCTCCTCTACAGTCTCCTCTACTGTCTCCTCTACAGTCTCCTCTACAGTCTCTACAGTCTCCTCTACAGTCTCTACAGTCTCCTCTACAGTCTCTACAGTCTCCTCTACAGTCTCGACAGTCTCCTCTACAGTCTCTACAGTCTCTTCTACAGTCTCCTCTACAGTCTCTTCTACAGTCTCCTCTACAGTCTCCTCTACAGTCTCCTCTACAGTCTCCTCTACAGTCTCTACAGTCTCCTCTACAGTCTCTACAGTCTCCTCTACAGTCTTTACCGTCTCCTCTACAGTCTTTACCGTCTCCTCTACAGTCTCCTCTACAGTCTCTACAGTCTCCTCTACAGTCTTTACCGTCTCCTCTACAGTCTCCTCTACAGTCTCTACAGTCTCCTCTACAGTCTCCTCTACAGTCTCTACAGTCTCCTCTACAGTCACCTCTACAGTCTCCTCTACAGTCTCCTCTACAGTCTCCTCTACAGTCTCCTCTACAGTCTCTACAGTCTCCTCTACAGTCTCTACAGTCTCCTCTACAGTCTCTACAGTCTCCTCTACAGTCTCTACAGTCTCCTCTACAGTCTCTACAGTCTCCTCTACAGTCTTTACCGTCTCCTCTACAGTCTCCTCTACAGTCACCTCTACAGTCTCTACAGTTTCCTCTACAGTCTCCTCTACTGTCTCTACAGTCACCTCTACAGTCTCCTCAGTCTCCTCTACAGTCTCTACAGTCTCTACAGTCTCCTCTACAGTCTCCTCTACAGTCTCCTCTACAGTCTCCTCTACAGTCTCCTCTACAGACTCCTCTACAGTCTCCTCTACAGTCTCCTCTACAGTCTCCTCTACAGACTCCTCTACAGTCTCCTCTACAGTCTCCTCTACAGTCTCCTCTACAGTCTCTACAGTCTCCTCTACAGTCTCCTCTACAGTCTTTACCGTCTCCTCTACAGTCTTTACCGTCTCCTCTACAGTCTCCTCTACAGTCTCTACAGTTTCCTCTACAGTCTCCTCTACTGTCTCTACAGTCACCTCTACAGTCTCCTCAGTCTCCTCTACAGTCTCTACAGTCTCCTCTACAGTCTCCTCTACAGTCTTTACCGTCTCCTCTACAGTCTTTACCGTCTCCTCTACAGTCTCTACAGTCTCTACAGTCTCCTCTACAGTCTTTACCGTCTCCTCTACAGTCTCCTCTACAGTCTCTACAGTCTCCTCTACAGTCTCCTCTACAGTCTCCTCTACAGTCTCCTCTACAGTCACCTCTACAGTCTCCTCTACAGTCACCTCTACAGTCTCCTCTACAGTCTCTACAGTCTCCTCTACAGTCTCTACAGTCTCCTCTACAGTCTCTACAGTCTCCTCTACAGTCTCTACAGTCTCCTCTACAGTCTTTACCGTCTCCTCTACAGTCTTTACCGTCTCCTCTACAGTCTCTACAGTCTCCTCTACAGTCTCCTCTACAGTCTTTACCGTCTCCTCTACAGTCTCCTCTACAGTCACCTCTACAGTCTCTACAGTTTCCTCTACAGTCTCCTCTACTGTCTCTACAGTCACCTCTACAGTCTCCTCAGTCTCCTCTACAGTCTCCTCTACAGTCTCCTCAGTCTCCTCTACAGTCTCCTCTACAGTCTCCTCTACAGTCTCCTCTACAGTCTCCTCTACAGACTCCTCTACAGTCTCCTCTACAGTCTCCTCTACAGTCTCCTCTACAGTCTCCTCTACAGTCTCCTCTACAGTCTCCTCTACAGTCTCCTCTACAGGGTTAGGGTTAGGGTCTGTAAGGAGACCGCCACCTGAAAGCAGGGGTGTTGGCACGGGCCCTCTCCCTGCTCCCAAACCAATATCGGGTCCCACGGCCCCGGCGGTCACCGCTGTGGCCCTGCAGGCGCCACCGTTGGCGACCACCGTTGACCCAAGGTCCGTCATGCGCCATACTCCCAGCCTAACTGTAGAGTATGTAGGTAAGTAGGATGTACCTACTTACTTTTTTAGTTCACGTGACTTCCTGTATCCGGTGAGCGTGTTTCTTGACTGCTATCACTCTGCTCTCTGTTTGCACTAACAAACACATTACAAATCCACGTATTGTACACCAAGCTAACTGTGTAAGCACTCCGAGTCAGCTGTACTGCAGCTGAGGTTTAGGTAGCGGTTGTTTGTCTGGTCTCGGAGTCTGTTGTGCGGGCCCGGATCCGTACTAGCTTAGCCTAGCCTAGCTTAGCCTAGCCTAGCCGCTAACTCGCTACTATGGCGGCTGCTGTCTCTCCCTCAATCCTTTACTGCTCGAGTTGCCATATGGCGAGTCTAAACCCTGGATCCTTCTCTGAGGGTAGTGATAGATGTGTGAAGTGTAGTGTAGTCGTAGCTCTGGAATCCAGGGTCAGTGAGTTAGAGCTGCGTCTCCGAGCACTGGAGTCTCGAGCTAGCGCTAGCATTAGCTACAGCCAGGCCGTATCCTCAGGGACAGCGGAGCGCAGCTTTAGGGAAAGGCAGAGGAGAACTAGCGAGCCTAGCCTCCCAGCCCGTCCTCCGCAGCTGGGACAAGACCAGGATAGTGATGGCTTTGTGACTGTTCGGAGAGGGCGACGTGTTGTTGGTAGTTTCCCCATTGGGCCTCCTCCTGTTAGCATTTACAATCGCTGGGACGCTCTGTCCGGCTGCGCCCCCGCGCGGCCGGGCGGGGAAGAAGGCCCCACTGAGAGAGCCGCTGAGAGAGCTGCTGAGAGAGCCGATGGAGTCGCTGATGCGCTGGTAATTGGTTCCTCTATTGTTAGAGGTGTTAAGATCCCAGGAGCCACTGTTCGGTGCTTCCCTGGGGCCAGGCTTGGTGATATTGAAGGGAATCTGAGGCTCATGATGACCCACAAGCAGCGTTTCCGTCAAATTGTTATTCACGCGGGTGGTAATGACGTTCGGCGGAAACAGTCCGAGGTGTTGAAGCTGCAAGTCGCCGCCGTGTGCAAGCTGGCTAGCACAATGGCCGACACTGTCATCTTCTCTGGGCCCCTACCTAGCACTAGCAGTGCAGAAGCATTCAGCAGACACTCGGCTTTCAACCGCTGGCTGTCTGGCTGGTGCCCTCGAAGTGGTGTTGTTCATGTTGACAATTGGAGTGCCTTTTGGGGAAAGCCCGGTCTCATCCGCTCGGATGATATCCACCCAACGTTGGCGGGTACATCCCTTTTGGCTAAGAATTTGGCCCTGGCTCTAAACTGTTCTGCTCGGCTCAAATGACGGTGCAGAACTGAGGCCCGGGTGCAGAGCTGCTCTGCCACAACCTCTGAGCCCCCATCTGTTCAGTTACTAGCCTCAGAGGCTAGTCAGATTGAAACTGTGTGTGCATGTGTGTGTGTGCCTGTGTGTGCTCAGTTACTAGCCTCAGAACCTAGTCAGATTGAAACTGTGTGTGCCTGTGTGTGCTCAGTTACTAGCCTCAGAACCTAGTCAGATTGAAACTGTGTGTGTTCCCCGCTTGAAGTCTAAAGCACTATATGCGAGGAAATCTGACCTAGGTGTCAGACACAGTAACTTAATAAAAGTTCAGACAGACAGAAATAGTTCTAGCGGTAGGGTTGTTAAATGTGGTTTAATGAACGTCAGATCAATCTCGTCTAAATCGCTTCTCATAAACGAACTTATTATAGACAAGGGCTTGGATCTGTTTGCGCTCTCGGAGACTTGGCTCCAACAGGACGACTACGTCAGATTGAATGAGTGCACTCCTCCAACGCATGTTAACTACCAGAAAGCCAGAGCTACAGGTCGCGGCGGTGGTGTTGCGATTATATCACACACCAACTTGGTTCTTAGTCCCAAAACCAACAACGCTTTTCACTCGTTTGAAAACTTAACACTTTCAATCACCTGTCCTGGGTGGAGAAAACAAAAAGCAGTACTATTTATAGTTTTATACCGACCTCCTGATCCTTACAGCGAGTTCCTAACAGAATTCTCTGACTTCATTTCAAACCTAGTTTTGGAATGGGAAAACATAGTTATAGCTGGAGACTTCAATATACATGTGGACGACAGCACTGACAGCTTAAACAAAGCTTTCAGCGCCGTACTAGATGGTGTTGGTTTTACTCAGAATGTCGAGGAACCTACTCACATTCATAACCACACCTTGGACCTTGTCCTGACCTACGGCTGTGATGTCTCCAATGTTGACATCCAGCGTCAAAGCTCGTTGCTGTCTGACCATTTCTTGATCACGTTTGATCTCGCTTTGGAGGACTTTCCTGTCCCGCAAGATAAAACCATAATGAAAAGAACCTTAAATGATAAATCTATCACAAGGTTCAAAGAACTAGTACAGCCTATGTTGAATGCTGCTGCAGGTGAGCCTGTTCACAGCGGCTGCAGTCCCTCAGTCATTGACCAAACGGTGGGCAACACTATGGAGTCTTTAAAATCTGCATTAAATGCAGCAGCTCCTTTAAAACAGAAAACCATTAGGATTAGATCATCGTCGCCCTGGTACAGTGTTCAACTCCACACTTTAAAACAGGACGTCAGAAAATTGGAGAGGCTATATCGCCACTCCCACTCGGAGCCTGTCCACAGGGAGTGGAAAGCAGGTCTCCGAAACTACAAGAAGGCCCTTCGCGGGGCTCGAACTCAATACTATTCAACTTTAATAGAAGCGAATAAAAACAGTAGATTTTTGTTTGGTACCGTCGCTAAACTCACAAACTGCCATAGCGCAATCGAGCCTAAAATTCCAAGCTCACTGAGCAGTGTCGACTTTCTCCACTTCTTTAATAATAAAATTACATCCATCCGTGACAAGCTGGAGGAGGTTGCTCCTGCTGTTAGTGGTGGACAGGTTGAAGCGGCATACGTGACTTCCCACTTAGACTCTTCAGTGGGCCTTAATAAATTCATGGCTGTGAGCCAAGCAGAGGTGATCTCTGTGGTCACATCCTCAAAAGCCTCAACTTGCATGTTAGACGCAGTCCCGACATGGCTCTTCAAAGACATACTTCCTTTGATAATTGAGCCTATCGTAAATATAATAAACGCATCCATACAATGTGGCTATGTCCCACAAGCTTTTAAAACCGCGGTAATCAAACCCCTTCTGAAGAAAACAAACCTGGACCCAGAAATACTTACAAACTACAGACCGATCTCAAACCTCACTTTTATATCTAAAATCCTGGAAAAACTTATAGCTGAGCAGCTCCGCTGCCACCTGCAGGAAAATGATATGTTTGAAGTCTTTCAATCAGGATTCAGAGCTCATCATAGCACTGAAACGGCACTAGTCAAAGTCACAAATGACTTACTACTAGCTGCCGATAATGGACAAGTGTCAGTGCTGGTCCTACTGGACCTTAGTGCTGCATTTGACACAATAGACCACAGCATTCTACTGCAGAGGCTAGAATGTGATATAGGTCTTAGAGGAACAGCCCTTGGCTGGTTTAAATCCTATTTATCAGATCGATATCACTTCGTCAATGTGAATCAGGACTCGTCGCCTTATTCTGGAGTGGAATTCGGTGTGCCGCAGGGTTCGGTACTCGGACCGATTCTTTTTACTCTCTACATGCTGCCACTGGGAAACATTATTAAAAAGCATGGAATTAATTTCCACTGCTATGCAGATGACACACAGCTTTATCTGTCGATGAAGCCTAATCAGACAGATCAGCTAGAAAAGCTCAGTGCCTGCATAAAGGACCTTAAAATGTGGATGACTCTTAACTTCCTACTTCTCAACCCGGAGAAGACAGAAGTGATCCTACTCGGTCCGAAGCGCCTGCGTGACTCCCTCACTAACCAGATGGTTACTCTCGATAATGTCAGTATAATACCCAGTAACACTGTGAGGAATCTTGGAGTCATTTTTGACCAAGAACTCTCCTTCAAGGCTTATATAAGCCAAGCAACTAAAACGGCGTACTTCCACTTACGGAACATCGCTAAAATTAGGAATTTCCTTCCTAAAAGTGACGCGGAAAAACTCATTCACGCGTTTGTCACCTCAAGGCTCGACTACTGTAACGCTTTACTGGCAGCGTGCCCTAAAGCCTCTTTGAAGAGCTTCCAGCTCGTTCAGAATACAGCAGCTAGGATCTTAACAGGTACCAAAAGGAGGGAGCACATAACTCCGGTGTTAAAATCACTCCACTGGCTCCCTGTGGAGTACAGAATAAAGTTTAAAATCCTACTCTTAACATATAAAGCCATAAATGGCTTGGCTCCTTCTTATCTCCAAGACACGTTAGTGTCGTATCAACCAGGTCGAGCGTTGCGCTCACAAAACGCCAGACGTCTGGTGGTCCCTAAGGTCTCAAAGGTCACTGTTGGTGGCAGAGCATTTAGCTACCAAGCTCCTTTACTGTGGAATCAGCTTCCCATTTATGTTAAGGAAGCAGATACGGTCTCCACATTCAAGGCCAGGCTTAAAGCACTTTACTTTAATTTAGCATATAATTAGGTAATATATAATATGTAGTGTATATATTATATATATATGCTGTATTATGTTATATATTATGTTATATATTATTCAATAATGTATTGTGTTATGTTGTATATTATGTTATATATTATGCTGTATGTTATTCTTTATTCAAGGCTAGGTTTAAAACAGTCCTCTTTAGTTTAGCATATGGCTAGGAAGGTAAGACTCGGAGAAGGTTAAACTCCTCAGAGTGTCAGTCAAGCTGCATAGGGAGTCAGTTTGCTGGGAGAAGTATGGTAACTTGAGCACTATCCTCTCCTCCTTCCTACTTTATCTGTTTAGCATTTTTAGGATTCTGACTGTAGTTTGTTCATTGCTATTCACCCGTTGTCCCATTGTCTGTTTCATGGTACGATGACGGGATCTCTGAGCCTGGCCTCCTCCATCTACACCTGCGGACTGCCCCGCCTGACCCGCCTGGGAGTGCTTCAGTCCTGCACCGGACCTGTCCACGTTCAGCGTCCACTGGTCCACGTTCTGTAGCTAGCTTAGGTCCTAGATCATTAGCCTGTCCGTCCGGAGGAGCGGATCCCTTTCTCATATGGGTCTCCCTCCCTGTGGGTTTCCCTAGTTCTCCTCCAAGGTTTCTCACTTTTTCCCACTGGGTTTTTTAAGAGTTTTTCCTTGTCGATGCAGGAGGGTCTTGTTGGACAGTTAGTGTCCAACAGAAAGGATTGGTGATGATCAGGACACTTTAGCATTCTACAACATGTATGGACATTTTCTTCTGTGTGTGCTTTATATTCTTCATGTGTTTTAACTGTTGATTCTCTGACCTGTGTTGGTGATTTCAATGGTTTTGTTAAGTCCTCTGAGATGACTTCTGTTGTGACCTAGGGCTATACAAGAATAAATTGTATTGTATTGTATTGTATTGTAACAACATGAAACAAACACAAGCAATCGAACAACACATTATTTCTTTTTTCTTTGAGGCTTACAATTACAGGGAAAGCAGTTTATTATTAGTTCTGTTGTGGTGACTAGAGCAGGTGAGGGCCATGCATCCGCTCATTCTGGCTTCCCCTGATGACTTCCACTTATCAGGCGAGGGTGATTAGTAATCCACAGCAGACCTCTAGTAATTACTCTAATGTCTTGATTAGAATGAGCGCCAATTGTAGTGTTGTAGTGTTGTGTACATAATTATTGATCTGCCATATGAGTGAGTGTTAGACAATTATTCTGACAAGCTCCATGTGACACCAAGAGACATTTAGAGTATGAAGGAAGGCTGTGTGTTTCTAAAGGGCCTACATGTAATATCATGCCCTTTAGGCTGCCTTTTAGAGAACAACCACACACACACGCACGCACACACATACACGCACACACCCACACACACACACACACACACTCTCTCCAACATGTTGTTGGACAGTGGATGTATGTTGTTATGTTCAATGGATGTTCTGAAAAAAACATCTTGATTGATTGATCGATTGATTTTAAACAGAACACAAATTAAATCTATGTTTTTTTTTTCCTCTGATAGATGTAATTACTTAACAGTCACGTCTTGAAAATCACCATTTATCAGACAAATTAGAATGAAGGACATGGACCATTCTACAAACAAATTTTACTAATGTTCATTCAGAAATTTCGAAATAATTAAATTACAATGTGATGTGAAATCTTTAAGGGGGTGTATAGAATCATAATAGCTCTAGGTATTTTTTATGTAGTTCCAAAATCTTTATTTTTATGAATAAAAAAGTCAATGTTATAAGTTAACATTAGTTAATGAGATTTTGCCTGGATTTTGTTTGCATGTGCTGGCTTTGACAATGTAGTTTGGAAATCAAATGAAGAAGAAAAAAGACACACAACTGAAAAACCATAGATGGTATATATAATTTTAACACAATCATAGTATCCGTTGTTTCAATGTGACTGATAATTACGCTATATCTCTATCACTGATCCCTGCACTCATTACATTCACTCCATCTGTGATTTATACACCCCTCTTCTCTCTAGAGGGCGCTCTAATCAAACTGTCATTTTGTCGCGCTGAAAATACGTCATAGTCACGCGACAAGCAGCAATGGTAAGTGAGCAAGCAGTTTTCTTTGCGGCGAATTTTAGCTTGAAATAAAATCATATATTCGATCAAAAATAAACGTAATCCACACCTAGATATGGTATTTCAATTTGAATACTAAGTGATCCTACGAAAGGCAGTGTTATTTGACGTTTTGAGCAGTTAGCGTTAAATGTCCAATGAGTGACTTGCGGCTAACTGTTTTGCTACTATTCCGTTTGACTGCAGCGTTTATTCTTTACTGATGTCCAAACGATATTTCGTGGATCTATATGTATATTATTGTTCTGGATGGACACATACTTAATTAACTACCTTGTTTATGTACAGTCTGTTTGTTACACTGTCTCCAGATCTAATGCTAAGTCATGTCTTCAAGCCTCCACGTAAACAACGCCGCTAAGTGTGGACAATATGTTTTTAATCTGTCTTTGTTATGTTTTAGTTCGTTCACTTTTAAGTAAATGTTTATTGTAATACACAGGGACAAAGTCAGAGCGGAGGACACGGACCCGGAGGAGGAAAGAAGGACGATAAGGTGAGTGGTGCTTTTGGTTGTAATATATTTGTTTGTTATGAGCAGTGTTGGCCACGTTACTTTGAAAAAGTGATTAGTTATAGTTACTAGTTACTTCTCCCAAAAAGTAACTGAGTTACTAACGGAGTTACTCCACTATAAAAGTAACTAGTTACCAGTAAAAGTAACTATTGCGTTACTTTTTCGTTTCGTTCTGGAACATAATGTGCACTCGACGTGCACATTTTTACCTTTAACCGCAGTGAGTTTGAAATATTATATCAGTGATATTTAACTACATCTGGAAAAGGCTGTTTTGCTGCTGAAGTCCTGTTCACTCTTCATCTCTCTCTGTGCTGTAAGCACTAAACACCAACACCCGCCACTGTGAAATGTGGAAACACCGGTGAAGCACTGACTTCAGCCCAATCAGATGAACATATATGTCATATAAATCAACTGGACCTAGAGAGCGGCTTATTCACAATTTGTTTGGCTACAGCAGAATACGTTTCATGCCCGCACTGTTTGTTCATACAAAACGCAAAACTATGAGTTATGGGTCTTACCTTATAAATGACCTGCACAGGCCACTTCAGTTCAGACCAGTTCCGTGTTTAAGTCCAGATAATAGTTTGAGCGTAGATATGTAAGCCTCCATTTGTAAATAAGTCCAATGAGTTTTATAAAGTAAAACAAAACGCATGTGTCCTCCATAAACTCCTCTGTTTTGCTAGCTGCAGCCGGGTGCATCCAATTTCTAAAATCAACAGTCTTACACTTACCACTACACTAACCCACCTCTGTTTCTTATCATTCCTATATCCATCCATCCATTTTCTACCCTTTAATCCATCTCTGGGTCAGGGGGGTGGCAGTCAGAGATGCCACCCAAGTCTCATAGCACCAGCCCCTCATTGATCCTCTGCAGGTGGTGAGTCCACAGGAGGACGGCTGCTCTCTGAGTGTGAGCATAGCCTTGATCTTTCAGTGGGGGCTTTGGGCAAAGTGGGGTTAAGTGTCTTGCCCAAGGACACAACGACAGCAGTCATCAGTGGGAGTCGGTGGAGAAGTTGCAGAGGTGGGAATTGAACCCACGACCTTCTGGCCTTAAGGCCAATGCTCTACCAACTGAGCTACTGTCGCCCCCATCATTCCTATAGTCATTGAAAAATTACCCTTAGTGCATTTTAATTTATCTTAAAAGCCAAACCTGTTGCTGCCCTTAGCAGATGAACCAGAAAGAAAAAGGAGCTTTCTGATGGAATTGTATGCAGCCAACTTCTGCGCTCACATGCGCTCCTCTGATGCTGGCCTCACGGTGATACAAGCCGTGGTTGAGCGCGATTAAGACCCATATTTGTTCCAAAAACACAATTTATGAGCCATCCTCTCAACTTTAGACATGTAGATTGTAGAGGAAATATGTTTTACATCAGCCAATATTTGCTGAGAGGTTTTCTCATCCTCCTTTCTCTCAAGACAACAGGATCCTATCATGAAGGAAAAAAAGTTCATTGTGCGACTTGAGTAACGCGCAGTAACGGGGCGTCGGCAATGATGACGGCGTTATAGTTACAGTCAAAGTAATTAGTTAGATTACTCGTTACTGAAAAAAGTAACGGCGTTGGTAACGCGGTTATTCCCATCACTGGTTATGAGACCTTCATATTATATTTGTTCATGAATTTTCCTTCAAATTTGCTATTGTGTGTACTTTGTTTACACATTAATACATGTTTTGTGTACCTGCAGGATAAGAAAAAGAAGTATGAACCCCCTATTCCCACCAGAGTTGGAAAGAAAAAGAAGAAAACAAAGGGACCAGATGCAGCAAGCAAATTACCACTTGGTAAAACACGAGCACACGTATTGTTGTTATTGTTGTACACTCTACAGACAATGCTGCAGTCATCGTGGATAATATTGTGATGTTAACTATTTAATATTGTATAGTAAACAGTGAGGTGAAAATGACATATGTCAGATGACCTCTTGTATGTGAGTCTACTGTGACGTGATGACGTATTGATTTAAATATGTAATTCACTTTAGCCTATGAATGTATATTTTTATTGTCTACATATGCTTTTTGACTGTTCTTGAGCTTAATAAAGACCAATAGATGTGTGTGTGTAACCATCTCATACGCTCCTTTCTCCAGTCACCCCTCACACTCAGTGCAGACTGAAGCTCTTGAAGCAGGAGCGCATCAAAGACTATCTCCTGATGGAGGAGGAGTTCATCAGGAATCAGGAGCAGATGAAGCCTCTGGAGGAGAAGCAGGAGGTCAGACTTGTGTGCTTCGCTGTCAATCATCTGTGGAAACATGACGTTCTGATGTGTTGTGTGTGTTGCTCTTGCAGGAGGAGAGGTCTAAAGTGGATGACCTCAGAGGTACTCCCATGTCTGTGGGCACTCTCGAGGAGATCATCGACGATAATCACGCCATTGTGTCAACGTCTGTGGGCTCTGAGCACTACGTCAGCATCCTGTCGTTTGTGGACAAGGACCTGCTGGAGCCCGGCTGCTCTGTGCTGCTCAACCACAAGGTACGGTAGCAAGAACTGCATTAAGACAGGCTAACTGGTGCTGTTTGCCTTGAGTAGGGGTGTAAATTGGTGACCGTTTAACCGGTGGTTGACCGTCACAGCGTTAACCGGTCAAAGCTGTCGGTTAAAAAAAGAGAAAAAGGGGAGAGGGGAGGTCTCTTCATAACGCTATTTTAAGCCCTATTCACACGATGTGACGAGCTGGTCCGTATCTAGCTGTGTGTGCCAATGTAACAGTAAACTCCAGGCCGACTCTCACGCCACACGCGCCACATATGCACACACACAAGCGCGCGCACAGACAGACACACACGCACACTATTTTCCCTCCTCCATTGATACGTAACATCCATACGCATCATCTCTCCCCTCTGTTACCGCCTGCTAGTTGCACACTGGTGCAGGTCAGATCTACATTGCAGCTTATATTTACATACACACACACACACATACCGGTCTGTCGCGCTCCTCAGAATCAGAATCAGAATCATTTTTATTGCCACGTAAGTAACAGGAGGTCACAGACTAGGAAATTGCTTTGGCTCAGTGCAACAGTCAAAAAGAGATAATAAAAATAAGAATAAAAAACACTTCTAAAGAATAAATTTAAATTTAAAATAGAGTTACAGTTACTATTTACAATATACAAGTGCACATGGTGCACACAATGTAAGGTGACAGCAGTACAGTGAAGTAAAGTGACGTATGATGGGCAGTAAAGTGACTTTATAAAGGGCGGGGGGACAGGTTAAGAAGTGTTCAAGAGTCCAACAGCAGAGGGGAAGAAACTGTTCTTGTGGCGGGAGGTTCTAGTCCTGATGGACCGCAGCCTCCTGCCTGAGGGGAGTGGTTGGAATAGTCCATGTGCAGGGTGAGAGGGGTCGGCTGTGATACGACCAGCCCGGCCTCGAGCTCGGGCGACGTACAGGTCCTGCAGCGATGGAAGGCTGCGGCCGATCACTTCCTCTGCAGAGCGCACAATGCGCTGTAGTCTCTGTTTGTCCCTGACTGTGGCTCCAGCGAACCACACGGTGATGGAGGAGGTGGGGATGGACTCGATGATGGCCGTGTACGTGTGTTCCTCTGTGTTACGGAGCCCAAAGCTGCTGGTCCTTGGCATTAGATCAGATCCACACACATCACTTTTAAACTTTAGAGGAGACCTGCGAGACGCGGCGCGTCACTCTCTGTTCTGACCATGTGGACGAGCCGTCTTTTGCTTAAAGAGCGACTAAACACCTGTGCCCAGCCTTACTCCGCCCACATGAAGATTTGAAAATTTTCTCTAAAAAGGGCGTTGCCTGGAGGACCAAGGGACAAGAAGGGGGGCTTAGAGTTGGGCGTGGTCTGGGCTGTGATTGACAGCTCACTTGTCACACACAAAAAAAAGACAGTTGTCATTGCTGCTTAAAGCAATAGTTTACAGACCAGAAAGTCTCATTCCACCCTTGTTTACACACTAAGATAATTGTAAAGCTACACACCTGAACCTAATCACACTCAATAATCTCAGAATGACTCATGTAATTTAATTTTAATCCACTAGATGGCGCCAGAATACTCCAAACTGCAGCTGGGGCGTGTGTGAGAGTTGAATGGGTTTATATCACTGGGACAGACAGACTGACGTCACACAAAACAACTGATGTCATAGAGAACTTCAGAGTCAATGGAGAGGCCAGAACCAAATTCAAATGTAGTACCACCAAAAAGATTGAGAGGGCACCACACAGCGTTTTTTGGCTCAAAAGTGATATTTTATCTAATTTGAACTAAAATGTCAAAAAAATGACCAGGATATGTAGACCAGGGATTAAAGAGTTCCGTCTAGGTGACGGATTTCCGTCAAATGAAATTGGTCTGGAAAAAAAAAAAAATATATATATATAATGATAATAATACACACAATGAAATGATTGATTATAAAAATAATATATAGTAATACATATACGTGTGAATCTGTTATATATATATCGATGTATAATAATAATTTGAATATAATTGTATTTATATGTATATAGAAATATTAAGTAATATAATGACGAGTGGGCCTTGAACGTGCCGTGGCCACATGAGCGCTCCGCAAATGAATCAAGGCAATGGGACGTAGCTGAGCTCACGCGCAAATGAAGACGCGATGAAGTTAGCATTGGTAACACGGAGGTGAAAGTTTCTGGAAACTTCACGGAGCTTTTGAAAAGGAGAAGAGGAGGAAAATTGAATCTCGAACGGAGCGATAACAGCAGCAGATCCGCGGACTGGTAAGCTGGGCGCGTAATAGAGGAAAGGTAATTAACGTTTACCAAACGCAATGCTATTTTACTTAACGGAATGTACAAAACGGACTTTGCTGCAACTGGGAATGGGGACAAACATGTCTTGGTGAGCTTTTGATATTGTCTTGTTTGCGCTCTTCTTGCAAAACTCAGCGTGATGTAAAAGAGCCAATCAATGAGTCATGGTGCGAAAAGATGAGAGTGGCCGGTGCTTGTGCGTACTTTGCCATAAAAAATTGCATATATGGGAGCAGGGCTGGACTGGCCATCGGGCGTACCGGGCAATGCCAGAAGGGCCGATGCCCATATTTGGGCCGGTCTGTTTGCCTCATACAAAAAAGATGTTTGTGAAAAGTGTAAATCCGTTGAGAACTGTTCGAGGGGGCGCGCATGTCCGCGGGGCACCTGCTGTATGTACTGGAACGGGATTCTACCACCTCAGCGGCCGCAGTGTTCCGGCATCCAGCGGCTCTGAGCTGGACGCGGGAACCGCTCACCGGGAGCCGCTTACAACACAACACACTGAGCGCGTAGCCGCAACGTGACCATGTACCGAAGACCATAAACGTGCACAGGACCATGCGTGTCTTTGCGTAATTTGTGCACCCAATAAATACACCGCTGCAGGAAAAAGTCCGTCTCCCCTTTCCTCTCGAAGTGCGACTAAATTAAAGCTCGGGTGCCTAAATTTTCCATTGCATTAAAAGTTCATGTTTGAGCCCAAAAGTAAAATGTTGTGAAAAAATTAAACAGATTTAGAGCCAGCCAATGGATGACATTATGCATTTCAGACTTTTTTGACCAATTCTCATCGCTGTAACAAACAATAGTGTTGTCTGTGTCCACCTCCCTCACTCTGAGACATGTTTATTACTCTCTTGTAATGTAGACTATTGCACTTTATTTTTTTGTTGAAACTGTAGACATCCTGATCCTCTACAGTATGCTTCCACATACTGTATAAACCAGGGGTCGGCAACCTTTAGTGCTCCTCCAGTGGCTCCTGGAGCCTTTTCAAAAATGTCTGAAAATGGAGTGGGAGGGCTATATTTTATTCCTAGTTTGAATGTGGTTTCTGTGGTAGGAAAAATATTCCTAACGTATTTCAATGCTGTAAAAATGTGTATAAGTAATATTCAATTTCAACATTTCTGTCAACGTAGTGAGTCATATCCTGTGGCGCGGCCCCGCGGCAGACGGCCGCTGCTGTAAACAAACCGGCGTGTGCGCACGGATCCCAAAGATAAAAAGAGAACGAGTCGATAATAAGACTGGACTAAGAACAAGACTGAACATTTGCTTTCAGTCAATGAGGAAGGACTGCTTCATGTTTGCGATGTAATAGGAAGTTTTGTTGCAACACGAGGAACAATGAAGCACTAAATACCGTTCACAGGGATTACGTGAAGGATTCTTTCATACAAAATCCGGAGAACCTTTTTCAGACTTCAAAAACCTCCGCAAAGACTGTGAAAGAAAAGGCCATTAAGGACATTCAGCTCCAGCAAACTTCAGCCTGTGACGTGATCGATATTAGCGGACAGTGCAGGTGTGTGACCTTTGAGCCAAAAAGCAGATTTATTTACTGTATTTCTACAGTTGCATGAAGGAAAAAAATGGAAGTCAAAGTTAAAGCAGAGTCATCACGTGGTGCGTCATTCTCTCCAGGACACGCTGCAGTGAAAACACACATTTGACAATCATGAATGCTAATCATGTATTTGTAGCCTTTACTTGGTCATTTAGATAATAGGCTAATGTAGCTACATTGTGTAACCTTCATATAAGCTTTATACAAGGCTGTTATTTTTTTGCGGCTCCAGACAGATGTTTTTAGTATTTTTTGTCAAATATGGCTCTTTGAACCTTTTGAGTTGCCGATCCCTGGTATATACAAACTGTAAAAAGCGTGACAAAAACATGCCTGGGCCGGTAAGAAGGAAAAAATGCCCGGGCCGTTTTTTTGTCCCAGTCCAGCCCTGTATGGGAGTAATGAAAAAAAAGTTTTGATTCGCCACCAGCTCAAAACTGCGCACAAGGCAGCTGTTTGTGCACTTTCCCACACTTCATCTTTACCTGGTACATCAGCAACAACTAACACTATCTTGCTATGGCAGACCGTGTCTGTGGCTTTATCGCAGAAAATAACGTTCAGAATATCACTACCGCTGGTAGATTTATTTAAATCATTTGCAGTTGATCGAAGTGCACTGTGCACTCAAACTTGAAAGGGAAACCTTTTTCTTAAATATTGACGTGTCCACAAACATGTGGACAGAATTTTATCGTCCTTTTGCAATATTTTGACGAGGACAGAGCCAAAGTGTTGACGCTCCATATCGCCTCAAGTAAAGCTACTCTCACTAATATTCTGTCAAAAAGTTGACTTGTTGCTTTATCCACTTATATTTCATATCAAAATACACTGTATATCTTTGAAGAATTCATTTGAGCTGTATTCAATATACAATCTATTATACAATATTATATTGTAATTAAAAATATAACTTGGTCCTGCATATTACTGTGATTTACATGTGATAAATTTCCACGCAAAAATTTTCAGTCAAATCTTTTTTTTTTGCTTTAACCCCTGATGTAGACAGCACTACAATAAACATACTTATGCAGTTTGAGTTAAAAAAAAGTTGATTTGGTGTTTAGTCGCTCTTTAAAAATGCTTTAACCCGCAGCGCAGCAGAATGGGAAGATTAAAACAGCAGTTCTCTGTGCGCAAAGGTGTCAAAGCTGTTGCGGGTTTTGGCGCCGCTGTCTCGGCTCTGATCCAGTAGAACGCATAGCTGCACTTATGAAAAGTACGCGGCTCGAAATGGCTGTTATTTCAAAGAACGTGGAATATTTTAAACTACGCGGTTAACCGGTTTCAACCGGTTAATGAGGCTCGGTGGTCGGTCATAAAAATTCAGAGTTTTTTACATCCCTAGCCTTGAGTGACCAAATGTCACTTGTTTTGGACACAAATTTATTGCTTTTAATTATTTTGGAATATCTATTGTTTTAATTACTAAACTAATTTAAATTAATCTAAAACAACATTGTTGTTTTCTTTTTAAGAAATAGATTTATAATTATAATATGTCATAGTAGCCCTTATTAAAGGAGCAATATGTAAAAATCTGGCCAAAAGTGGTACTTTATTTTACTCGTACTCGTTTTATTCCTTGTTTTGTCATTAATTATTCGAGAATCATAACAAGACTTTTTTACAGCGGCCACATGTTGCTTTACCAGTGAGATTAGCTCAAAGCGGTGAGTTCTGGCAACTCGGATCATGGACCTTCTGATTGGTAAAATGGTGGAGGGCGGGACATCAAAATGAAAACTATAATGAGATTTAGGGGCTGTAAATCTAATTTTGAAATTCAAATATCTCGGCTGAGCTACAGTTATCAGTTAAAGAAGTATTTGAAAAGAGTTTATTAATACCATTTGACACATCAGGGCCATTTAATGATGATTCAACATGAACATCTTACATATTGCTACTTTATTGTCTCACATCTGCATTTGTGATTCAGTAAAAATTGCAAATAATTTTTGGCCGTAAACTCGGAACACACTGCAAATTATACACTTCAGGAGTTTTCGCACCAAAAATCACCCTTTCTGCAATGGACTGACCTCCTTCTGCCATGTCATTTTGATTTCAACTCGTCTTTCGACAGTCTTTTTGCCAAACTGTATTCTGTATAAACACAGTGGTCAAATATTGTGGTAGTTTTGACACCAAGCTGTTAACGTAGGTCCAAAAACGCAAGTCTCCAGTGTGAACATGGCTTTAAATATGTATATGCTCCAATGATTTTTTTGAAATGGATGTCTTGATTAGTAACCAATATCACTGGTTGTGCATAATATTGATTCGGATTGACACAGTAACTGCCCTGTTTATTCTTGGATGCAGAGGTCTGTGAGCCAGTTTACAATAGCAATTCTTTGTTTCATAATGTATAATAATTCAGATCTTTTTATTTGGTTGTCTTCCCAGGTCCATGCCGTTATCGGAGTGCTCATGGATGACACTGATCCTCTAGTCACAGTGATGAAAGTAGAAAAAGCCCCACAGGAAACGTACGCAGACATTGGAGGGCTGGACAACCAGATCCAGGAGATCAAGGTATGCCACATTTTCTTCAACCACTTTTATGTTAAAGTCTGAATGTTTGGTCTGCCGACTTGACCATTTGTAAAACTCCTCTGCTGAATCATTAAAAAATTCCATCCATCCATCCATCCCGCCATTTTCTACCCTTTAATCCATTTCTGGGTCAGGGGGGTGGCAATCAGAGATGCCACCCAAGTCTCATAGCACCAGCCGTTAAAAAATTATGTTTAAAAATAAATAAATTGCTGTTTCTTTGTCAGGAGTCTGTGGAGCTGCCTCTGACACATCCGGAATACTACGAAGAAATGGGCATCAAACCTCCCAAAGGAGTCATTCTGTACGGAGCCCCCGGCACCGGTGAGCGAGACTATATTATATTGGAAACAGGACAATGGGTCTTCTGGTGCATTTAATAGCGAAACATTGTGACCTTTACTTTTCAAAAGTTAAATGGGGTTTTTTATAACTGCACTCTGAGCTCTGTTTCATTGTTTAAATTGGAAGCATAAAGCGCCGTAATGAAAGTATTGAATGTCAAGCCAAATTGGGGATGTTCGATTAAGATTTTTTCTAAAAGCATTTCCCTTTGTACAATGATATATTGAATTCTTGTTATACATTAAAACACTGTTTGACTGTGATATGAACAGAAAAGAGATGCTTTCTAACCAAGAATACAGTAAAAAGAAATCTCAAACTATTACCCAGTTGCTTCTTATTGTAACATTAACAAGATACAGTGATATCTCCAGAAACTACCTTGAAAAGTTAACATTCACTTCTGGTATGCTTAATTATTGTAACGGCTTTTTACAGGTCTTAAAATTGTCCTGATTCATAATGCTGCTCCTAGTATTACAAGAGTTATAGTGGCTCCCAGTTTCCTGGTCCATAAATTCTTGAATGGTAGAGGTCCAGAATATTTTTCAGATCTGTTGATTTCAAATGAGCCTTGTGGACCCCTCAAATCTCATAGGACTGGTCTATTGATGGTTCCCAGAGTTCACACTAATCGCAGTGCTGCAGCAGTGAAGCGCAGTCTGCAGACTTGACCTTATGCATACGTTTGAAATCAGCTCCACTATTTTGTCCCAGTTATATCAGGTATTGAGAGAATTTTGCGCTTCTTTTTTCTTCTGGTTTCCTAATATTTTGCACAAAAACAAAAATAGTTTTGATTGAATTGCGCACATTTTTTCCAAAGTCCTTGAGGTCGACAGTAGGGATGCACTGATTCTGGTATCTGGGTAATACCATAGGCTTGTACTCGTACTCAGACCATAGGACCCGATTCCGGCAACCAATACCCACATTTTGAATTTACATTAGGGTCACAACAGCAGACAGCTATGCTGCACGTGTTGCCATGGTGATCTCTCAAAGTCTGCAGAGAGAAAGCAAGCTACCAACAAGATGTCGGCTGTATTGCTGTTTTTTAACAGCAATACAAGGGTGACAAGGGTAAAGCAGACTGGATGTTGTTTAAGGCAAAGCTGTCAAGAGGTGGATCCAAAACAAACTCGTATAACACCAGCTAAAATGTTTTATTGTTAAAGTAATTTTTTATCATTGAATTGAGAAATATAAAAATTAAATTAAATTTGTATTAGTTTTATGAATTTCTAGGGATAACACAATGCAGTCATATTTACAGTCTATGTGCAGTACTCGTATCGATATTCAGGATTCGGGAAGTACTCAAATTAAGGTACTCGGATCGGTTTTGAGAAAAGTGGGTGTCTGTGCTTCCCTAGTCGACAGAGGGAGCCGTCATTTCCAGTGATCAAGTTTTGAACAAACACCGCATTTTAAAACCGGCCGTCACTTCAAATCTTTTGTCCCAACCGTTATTAGACTGCTGAAGTCTGTAGCTTGTTGGTGTTATGGACTTTGGTGTGCATTGACATGCATGCATTTGTGCTTCAGGTAAAACACTTTTGGCCAAGGCCGTAGCCAATCAGACGTCAGCCACCTTCCTGCGAGTGGTGGGCTCAGAGCTCATTCAGAAATACCTTGGAGACGGCCCCAAACTGGTGCGTGAGCTTTTCCGCGTGGCAGAGGAGCACGCACCCTCAATCGTCTTCATCGACGAGATCGACGCCATCGGTACCAAGAGGTTAGTGCTGCTTTTCCTTCTGATGTGAGAGAACAATATTTCACCTCTGAGCTGTGAGAGAAGGTGTCTGAGGGTTTGAAATAGCAGCTGTCATCTGAACAAGTCGACTCAGTTTGCTCCAGTAGTGAGCAGCAGAATGTCAATGTGCTTTCCAAATGCATCATTGTAGCTTCATTCAATATTACACAAAGTGCAATCTAATTATTTGCAATTGTAGTAGATGATCCTGCTCTCCACATTTGACATAATGGTTTTGTCGAAGGTATGACTCAAACTCTGGTGGAGAGAGAGAGATCCAGAGGACCATGCTGGAGCTGCTGAACCAGCTGGACGGCTTTGACTCGCGGGGGGATGTGAAGGTCATCATGGCCACCAACAGAATCGAGACGCTGGATCCAGCCCTCATCAGACCTGGTCAGTGCCATACACTCATTTATTCACATGATCATGTGGTCATTTAAGTGAGAGACAAGTTCTGGAAGTTTAGGTCTCCTGGCCGATAAATGACCACTCCAATAATAGATCCAAGAACACGGCACAATATGGCAGTCGTTAAGTGATTGGGTGTTTTTAATACAGATGATACGTGTAAGTGACCTCTCCTTATTGAGACAAATGGCCACTTCTTTGTGTTGATTAGTGCCTTGCGAAAGTATTCGCCATTGAACCTGTCAACATTTTGCCACATTTCAGTCTTCAAACATAAAGATATACAATTTTATTTTTTTGTCATGAATCAACAAGTGGGACACAATCGTGAAGTGGAACGACATTTGTTGGATAATTTAAACTGTTTTAACAAATAAAAAACTGAAAAGTGGGGCGTGCAATATTATTTGGCACCTTTACATTCAGTGCAGTAAACTCACTCCAGAAGTTCAGTGAGGATCTTTGAATGATCCAATGTTGTCCTAAATGACTGATGATGATAAATAGAATGCACCTGTGTGTAATCAAGTCTCCGTATAAATGCACCTGCTCTTTGATAGTCTCAGGGTTCTGTTTAAAGTGCAGAGAGAACCATGAAGACAAAGGAACACACCAGGCAGGTCCGAGATACTGTTGTGGAGAAGTTTAAAGCCGGATTTGGATACAAAAAGATTTCCCAAGCTTTAAACATCTCAAGGAGCACTGTGCAAGCAATTATATTGAAATGGAAGGAGTATCAGACCACTGCAAATCTACCAAGACCCGGGCGTCCCTCCAAACTTTTAACTCAAACAAGGAGAAGACTGATCAGAGATGCAGCCAAGAGGCCCATGATCACTCTGGATGAACTGCAGATAACTACAGCTGAGGTGGGGATGGTGTGTTCAGGGTGATGAGCTGTGTTGCTTTTACGCCAAACATATCGTTTTGCATTGTGGCCAAAAAGTTTGATTTTGGTTTCATCTGACCAGAGCACCTTCTTCCACATGTTTGGTGTGTCTCCCAGGTGGAAAAGGAATACTTTCGCAAGGCACTGTATACACAATAAAATGTGTTTTCCTCTGATTCATTGCTCATAAAATGGGCACCTTGGGGCAGGGATCCAGACAGTCATGTATTTGAAAATATTTGTTAATTAAAAATAATGATTGTTTTTTCTGGCTGGCCAGCATAAGTCTGTAATTTGTAGCATGTTCCAATCATGTTGGTATCACTTTCACAATCCTTTTTAATTATTTGAAATTCAGAAAACACACCCAGTTAGATTTGACTTTGAGGTTTTAATGATCATCCCTTCATCCTCTGCCTCTTTCTCCTTTTAGGAAGAATCGACCGTAAGATCGAGTTCCCGCTGCCAGACGAAAAAACCAAGAGGCGGATTTTCCAGATCCACACGAGCCGCATGACCGTGGCCGATGACGTGACGCTGGACGAACTCATCCTGGCGAAAGACGACCTCTCAGGGGCCGACATTAAAGTGAGTAAACGTCTCTGTGGTAGTGTTTATACAGCCTTTCAAACCGCAAAGAGACTGGCTCTTGCATCGATCTGCTGTCTGGCTCCGAGTCAGAGCTTAATTTGGATCAACATCAAGAAAAAAACACCTGAAAAAAGCTCAAGAGGGAGTTTGTGAAAAACTTAAAACAACAGCGCATACATTTCTGGAAGTAGAAAATCACACACATGACTCCATTAAAGTAAAAAAAAAACTATACTCTGAAAAATTGGCTGTTGAAATATCTGTTTAATGACATAACAGGAGAAATAGCCAGGCCGAGTCAGCTTTGTGGCAATGCAAGACTGTTCAATTTTTATACTTCAGTCCTCTCGAACAACAGAAATTGTGTTTTTTTTTCTTTTTCTTTTCTTATCACATCTAAATCTAGAGCCGTGAGACGGAAATGAAAACTATATAATACACATGCGACACATGGAGGCTGGTGGACTACAGGAAGAGTTCACACCTTTAGACTTAGCCTGAGGGTTCCACACCAACTCTCAGCCTACTTCCAATCGTGCAACTTTTCATCACTCTCTTCTTCAATCTCTCTGCCTATGCCCTTATCTAACCAGTCAGGTCACCTAAAAAGACCTGTTCTTTCCCAACTGTTACATTCGTCATTCCGTCGATCCTAGTCTCACCTTTCATAGTCATTGCTTTCATCTCGAGCATTTTATTTCAAACTCATTAAATGTCTTCCTTTTCAATGTCTCTCGTACATCATCCACTGTTAAACCTCTTCACCCTTACATTTACATTCTTACCTCTCACCGCACCTTCCACCTTCAACTACCCTATGTTTAATGTCTTTCACAGTTTCCATTTGGTCAGTTCGCCAACAGCAAATTATGAAAATCAATCAGAACACAGGGAATTGGGCTTGTTCACACTAAAGGGCACAAAAGTGTGACAAAAGGCCAAAAATTAGATTTTAACAAGCACCTCTTCTGTCCATTAGAAGTTGCTAGAACATAACTGTTGTATACATTAGACAAGTTTCCTATAGCGGCCCTGTTTATTTTATGTAACGGACATGATGATTTGACGGAATGAGCTTTGTGGAAGTTTGATAGGTATTTTCAGATGTCCACATTTGATTCAGAGATTCTATTTTTTTACACAAAGTAGATGCAAAGGGATTTTTTTTTCTCAAGTTTAATTTTTAGAGAAAAGAGGACCGTCCTCATCACGTCAGTTATACATTTTTCAAGGGGTCAGAATTAATTATTTATTTTTTCACGATTCCTTTTTATATCAAGTGATTTCCTTTTGTTGTGTTAACCATGTAAATCTTGTGGGATTTCATCTTCTGCTTTTTCAGACTGAGGACATTTTATTTTCTATGTAACTGGCGTCACAGTAGAATGGTCCAATCAGAGGCTCATTTGGTCGTTTAAAATGTTGCTAAACATTTGTATGTCAATCTTTCCTTTAGATTTTTTCCACACTATCTCTTCAATGTGTCTGTGTTTGAAATCTCTTTTCCAATCTATGAAAGTAATTTTAGTTTTTAAGTTATAACCTTTTAAAGTCCAGATACTTCAATTGTCACTTTACTGTGAACCCACTCAATTTTACAAAACAAAGGTCGTTGGGGTAACAGGTTTAATGTCCAGAAAACACCTAATATGGGATTTGATGCTGCTATATTTCACCATTATAACAGAAGTTCATAGTGAAAATGACAAAGTGATTAATGTGCTGGATCAAGGACTTCTCCCATGTTCCAGCTAAATTATCAATAACTAATTGTTTGTACTAGCTTAATCCCAGTTCCTATTTTTTGAGAAAAGGACCTGCTGCTGTTAAGGCAAAAGATCAGTGACTTAACTTTGCTGCCCTCGTGTGGTAGTTTGGACGCAGCACAGCCACACATGACCCCATTTGAGTTCAATTGCACCGGATGGAATCTTGAAAAAAAGACTAGTTCAGTTTCTGCCATTAGAAACAGAATATGCTTTGATCTTATTTGTTTTTTTTTTCTCCACCAGGCCATCTGCACAGAAGCTGGACTCATGGCTCTACGCGAACGCCGTATGAAAGTCACCAACGAAGACTTTAAGAAATCAAAAGAGAATGTTTTGTATAAGAAGCAGGAGGGCACACCGGAGGGTCTCTACCTCTAAAGGCGTCCCGAAACCATCCCGCCCCCTCCTTTCTGTCCCCCCTCACAGCCATTCATGCGCTGTCCTCAGAAAGTTTTGATATATTTTGTGCATGTCATGTCTCACCCATACTGCTATTGTTACGTTGTTTAAAATGAAAAATAAATTCTCAAAATATATATAATTGTTGGCTCGTTTTTAAAACTTTACCTGTGGAATCTTTTTTTTGAAAGTGTGCCAGATTATTTAGTGACTGAAGGACCAGGAGGCCACAAAATGCTCAAAGTCATGCATTTCAATTAAAATCTAATTAAAGATGTTCAATGCAAAGTTTATGCTAGATTCAGAAATATAAAAATTTAACTTGTACTAGCTCATAATATTTAAAAAAAACCCAAACGCTGTTAAGGCTATCACAGCGGAAAACTTCAAGACTATGATGTTATTTTTTCATGAGCCCCATTCACAAAATTGGCTCTCCAGGGAATTGCCCTTTTGTTTTCCAGGACAAGATTTTTCCTTTGGTAAATTTGTCAACGGAATAGAATGCAGACCAATGCCTTGACGTCTTCAGGTGTTATGTGGACATTGTGGGCATTGTTCTGGGACCAATAATATTTACATGAACAGGGAGCACTCGGGTCAGGCTGCAGTCCCAAGAGAGCCAGAGTTCAGTTTAAATGAACCAAATGGAGCAAAAAAACCTCTGTGGAAGATTGAAACCACCACAATTTTCACTGGAATAGGTTTCACATCTAAACCATTTATGTTTAATACAACAGTGAAATGTTGTTCAATGCTACCAAAACATTTCAATTTAAGATATACTATAGATCCACGGATATAACGCATCTAACATTTGACCATCTACATAGAAGTCTGCCCTTTTTACAGTTTAGTGCGGCTCTCTTTGGACTATGCATGATTCATTACTAAAATATGTATTGCCGGCCGTTACCACAGTTACAAAAATAACCTCGTACATCATCCCATGTACAGTATATTCATGGTCTGATTTTAGGCTCTGAGATTGAAAAATGGAACTTGGATCTAACCTCAATTTATTCCTTTTATCTGTTTTGGTATTGACAAAAATGTTTACTTTTTAGTCAACAAGAATATGTAATTTTAGCCATAGTTTTGGTACGATCACTTTTGATTAGTGTTTATATTGAAGTGTGGCTATGTCTGCCTCATGCCTAAATACATGTTTTTACTACTACTATGCAAAAACGTATCTTATGTGCTTTTTAATTTTGGTCTAAAATAATATATCATTGACAAAAAATATGGCAACCAACAATTATATCATTCATTCAAGTGTCATCCTATGCAGTATACAGTATAGCCAGCATTATTTCTTCAAGAGCTTTACATAATATGGGGGTTGTAGGCCTATTTAATCCTTTTTTTTTCTTCCCTTCCTTATCTTTCCCCTGGTACTTTTAAATGCCAGTGCCTTTATTCCACCTCAGAGACATTGCTACTAAGTTAATACCAAGTAATACAAGTGAATTTAGGGCATGCGTTTGCAGTTATTCTGTTGGATGGGTGCTCTGGCTCCGTATGATTTGATTTGCCTGTCCTCTATTCAAATCAGCCTTTAAGTTATTACAGCAGCGGCCGGTTAAATAAATCTGGCTAAGCTTTCCCCTTCGCCGCGGTCTTGACACGTGGGGAGCGGGCAGCTGTGATTTAATTCCTCTTGATGTGAAGCCACGTGGAACTCAAGAATCAGCACAAAGTGGCCCCAATGCACTTTACCACTGGCCCATGGAGCCACTGCGGCATCCCCCATCTTTGGAGGAAAAAAAAAAAGCTTATTAAATCAGTCACGCATTTCACACGCAGTATATGTGGAGCTACGCGTTATGGGCGAATGAAAAAGGGGGAAAAAACATGGAAATCAAGCGTATCGTGTTCGCCTCGAGAGTTACAAGATGATGGAGGCACTTTACTCTCCCTATAGGCCAGGCTGTGTGGCATTTTCAATATACTGCTCAACAAACATGTTTTTTTTTAAATTACTATTATGGCTTTAGAAATGTATAGAAGGACACTCAACATTCAATGATATTTATGGATATTTTATCAATATTTATGGACATTGATCTTCTTATGGACCAGTGGCTCTTTGTTTTTTTAAATCGTTGCCTTTCTTGTGTTTTGCTTGATTCTCTGATCTGTGTTTGCAAATCAACGGTTTTGTTAAGTCCGCCGAGATACCTATACTGTTGTAATTTAGGGCTATACAAGAATAAATTGTAACCGCTCTGATAACTCCTTTTTTTTGCTTTTTTTAATCTGCTAAAATTATAAAATATTTTTCTTATGGCCTTTTACATGCTTTTTCATTGTTAGACACATTGGGTTGCATGCATTTGTATTGAATGCGCTATACAAAAAAAACATTTATTCCACTGACTATATAACAAAAAACCTGTTACATTGTACAATTTCTGTTTGTCTTCATCATAAAAATAAACAGATTAAAACAGAATGAAGCACACATCAGTTAGAAAAGTGAAATTTGTCAATATTTTATACTTTCTTTTCATAATTTTACCAAGAATATAAGAATAATGTTCTCATTGTGCGAGGCTTTGGTTTCTGTTCACCAGCTCTGGAGGACAGGGGTGATTCAACCGAAAAGATACAAGGCTAAAAGATACACACTTTCCAAGTAGTTTACCAATGAGAAAACCCATTAAACAGAACCACATAAATATTACATTACGCAAATCAATAATTCGATCAATATTTCACACAAAAAGCTATTTGTGCTGACGGAGGAGGTATTTGAGCGACTTGGGTTAATAAGGACAGACACTATTCCAAAGAGAAATTTTAAGCAGCAAATAATTAGTATTGACTTATGTAAGAAAATTCTTCATAATTTACATTTGAAAATCCAGCCCATGCACTCATTGGGCCATAACTATCTCAACAGACATTTTCTATTGTTTCGTTTTCAACTGAACGAATCGGGCTTGGAACATGTTTTGACAATTACAGCATTCAGTTCCTGCATGATTTATTGTCTGTACATGTTGGAAGATTCCCTGGAATTCCATTCATATGTTGATGGCAATGTGCCGAGAGTAAAGAAGATTTTCAGGATTTCAAATGGAGGAAGGAGAGGGGGAGATTATGGTTTCAAAGAAATATCTAGCGTTACCCAAATACATGGAGCATACAGTGGATTAGCACCATAAACTTGCCATACAGTGCTTCTTGAAAGTACTGATGCACTTTGAACTTTTGCTCATTTTGTCATGTTCACAACCATAAACAAAAATATGTCGTCTATTTTTTATTTTTTTTACTGAAATTTCACACACATGTAACAGACATCTGTGAAATCTGTTTTTGTCATGACTGACAAGTGAAAAGTATTCACACAGCATGAGTTAAGACTGTGGGATCCCCAACTCCAGCTGCTTTTCTTCCAACAATGTCCTGTATTCTGTCTTCACTGTCTCTGCTGAAGAAAAGCAGCCCCATAACATGATGCTGCCACCCTCTTTATTTGACTCCCGGGGTGAGCAATGTTAGTTATGAGCCATACTTCAACATTTTGCATTTGGACCAAAGAGTTCAATTCTGGACTCCTCTGACCATAGCACCTTCTTCCACTTGCTGAATGTGGCTTGTGGAGTATGAACCATTGGCCTTGTGTCTACATCTGCTGTCAGGTGTTGTCCTTGTTGGAGTTTGGTAGTCTTAGATTTGCAGTTGTGCCATTCTCGAACAGTGCTCTGTGAGAGGTTTGTCCCTGGCCACTCTGGTGCGCTCCTTGGCCTTCAGGATGCTTTTTAATAACTAAAATACTCTGATATAGCTCTGGGGCCCGAACAGAACAGCTGTATTTATACTGAATAGTGAGTGTGAGTATTCAGGAGTTACTAGGAATGTTTTAAAAGCAATTAATTTCACTCAGAATACAGTTTGTGCATGCCCCACTTTTCACTTAACAAGATGATGTATCATTTTGCTTTCACTTCATAGCTCAGTAAAAGGTTGTACATAATGACAAAATGTGTAAAAGTTCAAGGTGTCTTAGTATAAACATGTATACAACTGTTGTCAGATTTGTGCTGGTTTCATCCAAAAGCTAATTTGACATAGGCATGAACCAATAAATATTATCAACAAAAAATAAATAAATAAATAAATAAATAAATAAATATTATCAACAAAATCTTAAATTTTCCAAGTTAAAGCAAGTGTAATGTCACATAGCCACAATTACCAAAATACAATAACCAAATGTTGAAATATTCTAAAATATGTGATGTTTTTTTCATAATCCACATACACAAAACTGGACCTTTCCTAAACAGAATGACGGTAACCAATGCAGAACCATAACAGAAAAAGTACCATTATTATCCTGTAATTAGAAGGGCTTGTCTCTACTTGCACTCTTTTCCAATAGGCTCATTTAATTTTCCTTGCACCGTACTTCCCCCTCTTATAATCCAGCAGAATATAAATTTAAATTGCTGTAATAAAGATGTGACTTCCCTGGACGGTCTTACTGACTGAAACTTAACAAGAGACAAGGTAAGAAATCTTTGTTTAAAAGTGTCTCGCATTATTCTTCCACTCCACACAATTGTTGTTAGACACTGTTAAAGCCACAGCTGCCCTAGGACAGATTGGAAAAAGCAGGGCTGCAGCACAGATGGCCTTAGAGGACCTTCAGCTCACCATCCTTCTCACACTAAATCTTAGCTCCATGGAGAGGTTATTACATTGAATTAATCTTCCATAAGTAAAAATAATGTATGTACTTGTTTGATTCCCCAAACTAGGATGCCCAGCCTGAGGATCAGTGCCCACCCTCACCATATATGGTCATGAGCTTTGGGTAATGAACAAAATGGGTTCTCTCCGCAGAGCAGCTGGGTGCCCCCTCGCCCTAGGGGGAGGAGCTCAGAGTAGAGCTGCTGATCCTCCACATCAACAGGAACCAGCTGAGGTAAGCATCTGTTTCACATGTCTCCTGGACGCCTCCCTGTTTTACCGGCATGTCACATCAGGAGGGGGCTCCAAGTAAGACCCAGGACATGCTGGGGAACGACATCTCTTGGGAAGGCCCTTAAAATGAATGATATTTTGGATGCAATTATATTATTATGGTATTATATTTAGTTCATTTTTGGAATAGACAGTATATAAAGATAAATTCCAATTATAAAAACAAATACATGATTAAAACAAGGAACATTACAGTTCTAGTAACTTTCAAGTTATTTAACAATGTATTGGCCTCCACAAGTGCAAAATATCTAATGAGTGAAAATAACGTTCCTATAAGCCCAGACTGTAATCAGCGTTTGGTTGTAGTCAGGGACGTGCGGTGAGGTTTGTGATTGGGGAGGCACTGACTTTAAAAGTCAGATTTACAATCATTATTCAAATAAAATAGCATTTAATCACCAATGCAATGACATCCACAAACTTTATATACTGTAAAGATAAGAGAACCAGCTTCTTTTAATAATCTCACAACAAATCTAGCTGCTGACTCTGCTCCGCATCAAACAACATCTTTAAGAAGCGCAGGTGCGAGAGACGCGAGGAGATAGACACGCGAGGAGAGAGGAGCAGAGAGAGACAGAGAGGAGCAGAGAGACGGAGACGCGAGGAGCAGAGAGAGACGGAGACGCGAGGAGAGAGAGACGCGAGGAGAGAGGAGCAGAGAGAGACAGAGAGGAGCAGAGAGACGCGAGGAACATAAACAATAATTTAAACAAGTTGCAGAACTCTTGAGCAGTGTTTGAATCAGTGTTTTTCGGAAAAGCACTACTTTGCCGGTATCTGTCAATGTTCAACATAAAACACAGATTAACAAACTCCTCCCCCGCAGCCGGACTAACCTCGTAAGTCCAGTGGTGGTCTCCCAGTCTATATTAATTCTTTCTTTGTTTGAAAGTCCAATTGAGAAAAAAAATCTTCATTCAAATCATCCATTTTCCAGCAAAAGAAATAGCATTTTGGGCTGATTGTTTGTTAGCAACTCTGGTATGAACTTTATGCTCACTATCACCCCTAGCGGTGAGGCACAGATACCGCCTGCCTCACGCCAAGCTTTTTCCTTGTGTGTTCATCTACGATCAAAAGACTTAAACTAAATATAAATTGTACACACATACGTGCAATACACTACTAAACACTAAGAGGAGTTTAAAAAATGTTTTTAAAGCAGGATATTTGAAACAAACGGTGATATATCAACTGCACGAGCTGAGTGCACTCAGACACACACACACACACTGTGAGGGAGCGGTCTGGGGTGAGGCACGCAGGAGCGCTGCCTCACCTCGTCTCTTTGAATAGGAATAACGGGATTTCGGCGATTTTGACTTCAGAAATGATCAAAACTGATGGGAACCGTGCCGAATATACATTAAAAGCATAGGACAGTGGATATAAATTATATATTTAAACTAAAATAATTATTAGTTTCCAATAATGGCAGGTGAGGCTCTGCCTCCCCTGCCTCCCCTGACTGCACGTCCCTGGTTGTAGTCCTCATTAAGCTTTTAATAAGGCTTCTAGTTATACTAATCATGATCATTTATTTGGGAGTTCCATGTTTGGCCAGCAGATGTCGCTTTAGACAGTGACACCAGTGTTGCACGTACTCAAGGCTGTCAAAGCGACTGCAATGCCATGTGCTTGTGATGTTTGTTGCCTTTAACGTACACTAATTAGAAGACGTATGCCTTAAAAGTCGAAGTAAGTATACAATAAACCTGCGTATAAATCAGAAAAAAATTTATGCCATTTCCTTGATTTTTGATATAAATTACGCAGTAGTGGTTTTATAGATGCGCACTTCCTGTATCGAAACACGCACATTTCCCCCGCATAGAAACCAGCGCGATGGCTACAAAATTCAACCCAGCATCTTGGGGGAATTGCGCAGTCAAAGCGCTAAATTGTGATATATTTGGTTAATAATTCAGCCCGTATTTTTATTTACAATGTTTCAATCAAGCGCTACTGCCTGGTGCAATGCAGGTCTGCAGGAGCCAATCAGAATAGCGGACACAAGGAGTATAATATTGCGGGTCCGCGGCAGCCAATCACAGCGCCATCTCAGAGCACCACGGCAAATTCTCCAGTGCCAACCGGGCTGCGCTCATCGCCACGACGATCCCTCCGCCCGCGTCAAATAGTGCCGCTAACATGCTGCTTTTCACGTTCAATAAACAAGAATAAAGCCACGTCTTGGGAATATTTTTTCTGTTACATTATTGTTACGTTTAGCTGAAAAACAAAAGCGCCTAATGAGTATAATTATGTGGTTAATGCTCGAATTCGTTTTGAATTGTACAATCTAGTCTGAAAACAAAATTAAATCAGAAAAAAATGTGTAATTTTTTTAGTAACTGAAATAATCATTCTGCACATCCAATATAAACGTATTGAAGTACATCTACTTTTGAATGACTGAATATGTTGTTAAAATGTCACATGAATTTTACAAACTTGTTTGCATTATACAGTATATAAGCAGTGACAGTAAAGCATTGTAAGCCATTCCATGCATCACACAGAGGCATATTTTGTGATTGCCAGCGATATGGCATGCTTAGACTTATGACATGCAGATTAAGTGGATTGGTACCCAATCAAAGTATAAACTACAGTTTTACTTCAACAAATATGTTTACATTTGCAAGAAGTAGGGCATAGCTCTGGAACTGATGACACCACGCTCGGGATAAACAAAATCATTTACAACCTTCACTTTTCATGGTTTGCTTAATAAACATATAGTCATGAAATGTAATTCATCAAATAACACATTGCATTGGTGTTCTTCCAGTTTATTGCATGGTTGCTTGGTAACATCCTAATAATGATGTCATCAATCACAACCAGGAAGTAAAATTATTGATCCAAAAATATGATCAGCCAATTCAGGCTCACTGAGGGTGAACAAAATATGTCTTTGTGGATGTATAAGCACCAAACAAGTGAATAGTAAACTGAAAAAGAGAGGACCCCTTTCACTCAGCCAATCAGCTCTCAGCCCAAAGCTTCAACTATACTTTAGGGCTCTTTAATAACATATTGTTTTATTTTCAAATAGATTAAGGCATCATGTTGTGATCTGATTTGCTCACAAACTCTAACAATATTCTGTCTCTTGGGACAAACAACATGAACTATCTACCTACTAGCTTTAATCTAACAGGTTCATAAAGTTCCATGCCTTTAAACCTATCCACAAATATGGCATTAAACTTTTAGGCAGTGCACACATCTGCTGCGTCCCGGGCCATGCATGTATTTATGACAAGAGGAGCTTTGGAAGCAGTGATTGGCATGTGTAGCTCCAGGGCAGGCCTCTTCTACTGCAACTGCTGACACTGAACAGAAATAAGGAAGTGAGTGAGCGCGCGGAGGGATACACACACAGGCAAACCCCCCATTCCGAGCCGGGCTAATATACACACTGTTAACCCGCCTAGTGCAGCTCCATCTAAGGACCGACCACATCCCCGAGTCTGCCTGCCCGGACCACAAGCACACACACAACCAACCGACATGGTACGTATGCCATTCATTCACTTTTTGCACCTAAATGTATCAGATTGAACCTCATCCATGCGTAAAGGCGCACCAAAGACGCTTCGTAATTCGCACTATTTTACGCATTCAATTCCTTGCTTCAAGCCATCTGCCTTTTCTACTTGCAGAGGGCACGGTTTTCCTCTGCTCGCTTTGGGTAGTTTTATGTGTGAATTGGTGGTAAAGATTACGCACATTTCTGCTACTTTACTGCGCAGTCCATGTCATCCAGCACTGGCACATATATTAGCCATATCGGGCGAAGTACCTTGTTTCACGACTGCTACTATCGAATGAAATGTTGAAGTACATGCAGAGGGCTATCCACATAACTATCATTCTTTTCTAGTGTTTTTACAGCATAACTCGCCTGCTACAAGTGCGTTGTATGGGTTTATTCCGAAGGCGTGTAAGGAAGCCTCCCTCGCGGTTATTACGCCATGTTATTATCCACATAAGTACCGCCTAAATTATTTGAATTTAAAAAAACTGATTTAATCGTGGTATAAAGTGGTAAAGAGCAGTGCATTTGCTGAATAACTGGGTGGTTTCTACGAATAATGCCAAAAGAGAGAGATGGGTTGGCGTTTTTTTTTTCTTCGTCTGCACCATGGCGTCTGAGCAGAGCTGTGCCATGATGGGGGAATGGCACTTGTAACTCGCTCCAGTCGTATATCTTTCTTTACAGCGCCTCTCCACTGACAATTTGACATAAATGTAATTCGTATGTGTGTTGTAAACGCGTATTGCCACATTGTACAGTGATCTGAGTGCTTTCATTGCCGTGGGACGCGCAGTTCCGCCTTTATTAGCCAGCTCCATGGGTTGTACGTTTTGGCTCTGCAGCCTGATTTGGTTGCCTGTGCAAATTTCATGATGTGATGCAAATACTGGTGCGTTTGTAGGCCCTTTCTGCCTTACTCTGACTTCTATTTAACACAAATACACCCTAATCTAGGTTAAGAAGTAATTTAGGAATCTCTTGTGTCAAATTCATGTCAAAAATTACTGTACTGTCTGAATGTTGTTGGATTTTTGGAGCAGTTTTTAAACCACCCTGACATCTGCAACTGCCTCTCAAAAAGGGGCCCTCCTATAGTGACGTCACTTGTGAGAGGAGTTACCAGGTGGAAGTGATCCGCTGGTGGAAAACGGGTCTTTCAGCTAATCCAGCGACTATCAAGTCAGATAGATCTTTAATGTCCCGAGGGAGTCAAGAAGCCACGGACCTCTCTGCCCCTCCACTGGCTCCTACTGGTGATCACATAGCCCATATATGGCATCAGGCCGACTTGCAGTGTCATGTTGCAACTCAGTAATTGGAGTGAAAAGTTGTATTGTTAGGTTAGTTTGCATATCAGTGTACCCTGAAAAGTTTAATCCACAATCTTAAACCCCTTTTCCTGCATCTATATAATGGAACTGAGGTGGATAGAGCCTCCCCCATTGAGGTGGAAGTATCAAATAAGTTGTGAGGCCATGCACCAGGGCTATCATGTTCCTGTTACGCTCTTGTTTGCAGATGCTTGTTTAGTAACTTGAAGGACATCTGATCCGCACCTATGAATTATTGATCGTGTTTAGGGGCAACACCTAGCCTTTTGCTGTGGGCCCTTCACTACTGTTACATATAGAGTTAAGGCAAGATGTGCTGATAGCTTGACACAATTTATTTGACTATTATAAAGTGGATATGGCATTTTCACAAACAGCCTGTTGTATAGTGTTTAAAACTACAGTAGGATCATTGAACTGGTGGAAGTCACCTGATGTTTACATCATGGCCGGATTATTTCCTCCACACAATGGGTTCACTTGGCATCTGAGGGTTCTTAAAGCTGTTGATCTGTCCTTAGCTTGTATAAACTGTGTACACAGCTGTAGCCAATCACATTTCTCAAGTGTTGGTATAAAGAGGTATTTGAATTAGAGGCATCTCTGCCAGAACAACAAGCAAGCTCTTAATCGGACCATGGCATGAAGTCAAATTTCATTACCTGAGTGTCTCAGTGCTGCAGTTGAGGAGTACCCGCCTCTCCTCCATCTGGTGGACTGTCCGGTCCCTCCTCCCCTCAGGGAGATCCCGGGGGCCTCCAACCTTTGTCCATCCTCTAAAGAGCAAAGAGCACTGTAGAAAACCTAGTCTCTCTTTGTGTTGGTGCTTGTGCCGCTCAATGGGAGTGTGTGTGTCACACCCATCTGTCACACTGACAGCTGCTCCTGCACCTTTTACTCTGTGAATGTAAAAACACACTCCAATTAAGTGATAAACTCACAACCTCAAATCACTGTCATGCGCCTCAGTGATGTAGGAAGACTGCAAGCAATGATATGGATGGTGGCAGTTATAATGGTAGAAAATAGCCTCTATTAGGGGTTCTGCAGGGTTTATATCGACTAAAAGACAGTTCAGGAAAACTCATCCTTTACTGAAGAAAACAGAAAGTGTTTGTTTGTTTCACTCTGCTTTGCCTCCTCCATGTCCTGCGGAGGAAGTCCTGGTGCCAGAACAGCCTTTACCCTCAGTCCCTCTGTGCTCTCCACCGTGGGGCCGGTGCTCTGCCATACGCCACAGTGAGCACTGACTCATGGGAGTTTCCCCTGTGTCTCATTCAGACTGGAAAAGACAGGGCACAGAGAATGGTCTGGACAGAGTAGGTTGTGGAGCTACAGTGAGGACGGTTCTAGGCTGTGATCCAAGGAAGAACCCACAGCTCTGATTCAGCACAGCCCAACCCAGTGCCCTCAGACCGTGGGGTGTCCCAGGGAGACTGTGCACAGCAGAAGTAACACAGCCCCACACCACATTGACTCAGGAGGAGGGGGATCGCGGTCACAGCCACCGCTGAGAAACATGTAGCTTCAGACAGAGAGCGCCTCGTGCTGGGTGGCATGTCAGTGCAGAGCTGTTTTGTCTCTTGACATTTCCTTCTCTCAAAGATGGAAGTAAAGTCAGAAACGAGCGCTGGGCGGGGGCAGAACAGAACAGGTTATTGAATCATGTCAGCTAATCGCATGAGCTGCTCAAGTCCATCGATCAATGCAAGCTCCAAGGAGAGACCTTTTTGTTTTTCAAAACCAAATGAAAGGTCAGCTCTGTAGTGTGTCAATCTGACAGATCTAAAACTGATCTACTCTAATTATGTAACAAATAGTCACCACAAACTGCCTTCACTCTATTGTCTTAAAATATTGTGTTATTCCTAATTTTTTCCCTAGAACCATAACAATTTTGAGTTTCAACTGCCCACTGCATAGGGCATATTTTGTCCTGTCTCCAGGGCTCTATTGCCTAAACAATGACATAAACAGTGGGATTAAGGAGTTTCCTCAGTGGCACAAGTGACTAACTCTGAGGAAACATGTGGATGGAAAGTGCTGTGAGGAGGAAGAGTATCATTATTGTGAGCTCTGTGTCTGAACGCCCATTGATCCCTGATAGTCTCTATTTCTGCAAAATAGTATTAGGAAAAAAATTAGCATTAACTACAGGCAATCAAACCTTGTCTAGTCAGAAACAGGGAAAGGACTATGGAAATTAAAGCTAGAATGAGTCACTTGTGGGCAGCCATTATGTAGAAAACACAGCTGGCCATCCTGATGGTAGGCAGCGAAAAACACTGTGCTGCTGACCATGTCCTTGTACAACCCTGCTCATGTGTGTTTTATCTGATGACTGCCTTTTGTGAGGATTCTCCCACATCCAGCTTTGTGAGGCCTTCTGCTGACATTGAATTTAAGAAATGCACTGTATTTCATTTGATTAAACTAAATGGTAATTTAATGGAGCAGCCAGTCGCATCTTATTTGTGTCCATCTCAAATGATTATCTGAATGTCTATCAAGATTAGAAATGCAATGATGTATTCAAATGTTCTAGTAAATGTGGAATTTGTATTTTATGGGGTAAGGGATTAGTTCACTGCTGTACTTACAAGTAAGTCAGTACTGTAGGTCTTTAATTAATTGTAATAGTAGTCTAATAATTTAAATCTTGGTATACAAATTTCATAATATGTTCTTTATTATTAATTAAGTTATCTATGAAGTTTGAAATTTAAAGTGAGTTTGAAGACTCCAGTTGGTTGGGGAGGGTGATGGGTACATAAATGGATGTCTGTATTTTTGGGAACTTAGATGTTTGTAATATTGAATTAAAATATACAACATCTTTTTAAACCCTGTATCTATTTTACAATCATGTGCCAACCTGTAGTTACCGAGCAACATTGTAGCTGTTTCACAATTCCAAAACCTTTGGGCCTCGCCAAAGTTTTGGCAGTTTCCAGTGGATTGTGTGAGAGAGCTGTAGTAACGGCCAGACACACAGGCCAAGAACTTGCACTACAAATAAATTGGCAAAATATAAGATTGAATTAGGCCAATTACATTAACATAGGTATAATTGTACTGTTTATTAAGAAAATAAACAATCTTCATGAAAGTGTGTGACAGGCCTCCTCTCTGACAATGTTTAAAACCAGGTTAAAAACAGTTCTGTTTAGCTGTGCAAACAACTGAGGGATTTTATATTTTAATCTTTCTTTTTCATGTACTGTAATTATTTCATATTTTGTTCAGCACTTTGAGTAGCCTTGTGTATGAAATTGTGCTATACAAATAAACTTGCCTTGCCTATTTTTGAAGATATAGATGTAAACATCCAATGCACTGTACAGCCTAGTATTATATAGGCCTAAACTTTTCTTTTTTTTACACAAATTTATCTTAAAGATAACAGTTGACTAGACATCTGCCACTAGACGGCCCTCATTTTCGTATATGCAGGAGCTTTAATCTTATTCTATTATATATTATTTTTTATCGTTTAATTACAGATCTTTTCACTGCTCAGAAATGCTTACATTGGCTCCTCATCTCATCAGTTTCAGTCTTCCATAAACAGTCTTCAGTTTATGGACTTTTAATACCATAGTCTGGAACATTCCTGGAAAAACATTTTGGTGGGCACAAGAAACGTGGCAATGGATGTGCACCTTCAAGCAATGCAGTGACGAATGGCTAAACGCACTATTCTGCCATCCAGTGTTAGAAGTGAGGAAATACATTCTGCAAGATTCAGATGTAAATCTGACATGGCTCTGCCTAATTGAAGCAGTTTATAAAAGTTATAAAAGAGAGCATATGTCTCATACGTTTGTGCCAGTTTTTATATTTGTGTGGATGTAAAACGTATCTCCAGATCGGTTTGATTTGGGAAATGGCTTGGAATGTGTGCCCTTTAAGATCAAATCCATGTTTTTAAGCGCTTACAACCTTTTGCGCTTTGTAGGTGCCCATTACATTTTCATAGAAATACTTTTCCTGATGCTTGAGTAAGTTGTTTGTTTGTAACCTTCTCCCTCCTCCTCTGTTTCTTCTGACCACAGGCTGACCAACTAACAGAAGAGCAGATTGCAGGTAGGAACAGAACAAATTCGTCCAATCGACCACACAACTCCACTCCTGTTTCCATCTGCTCGATTCTCTGTCATACAGTATTATACTGCTTTATACTCTGCTTTTCTCTCCCTTCTCTACCTATGATAATATACAGTATCTATCTGGGTCATATACTTGGCTTATATAAAAAATAACATGTTGATTATTTTCATCTCGAGCCCTAATCACAACTAACGGATCATCTCTTTGTGTAAGAACAAATTTGGTGGTTATAGGGTTAATATAGTATAGCTTTCTTTCTGTTTTCCTCCTTCCTTCATCTGCCGTCCCTCCACCCAGCTTCTCTTCAGTTTACCCTCCGCTTCCAGCCAAACTCGGTTAGGATGTGATTCAATAAGGCCTTCTCTCCTGCCTCACATCCTTCATTAGCTCCTCTCCTCCCTGTGTCTTGATGGAGCAGGCCAGAAATGAGAGTGTGATGGATTTGGCGTCCGCCCTCCTCTGATGGATCATTAGTGTTGAAAATGAACAGGAAACAGGGAGACAGTGATTCCCCGCTCATACTGAGTCATGACGAATTGAAAGCAGAGTTGTCCTGTTCAAAGGTATGATGAATGGCTCCAGATGCTGAATGGGCAATATGGCAACAAATTATTTTCACAATTCTCACTGATTTCTTTCATCCATGTCCTTTTCAAACTAAAGAATGTATAGTAAACTTTACAACTCGGTGATTGGTTTGCCTGTCATCATGTGACATGTGATGGAAACTAATAAGGAAATGTTTTCAACAAAAACATCATACTTACATTTTATATATCTTATAAAAGATATAATCTGTTTGCATATTTTTGAAAGGTTATTCTTTCAACCTATAAACTGAGCAGTGGTTTCATGAATCTAGTAATAGGTTTGGACCTAGTTCAAAACTAATAACTGTAACTAACAGTGTTAGTTGCAGAGTAGCAGTAGCAGTTTTTGGATTAGAGACTCAAACTCTTTGTCTTATTATTGCATTTTCTGTGTTCAAACACATTGGTCCATAGGATTGTGGGAGGATCAATGTCCGTGAATGTTCATCAAAATGTATGAACATTTATTAACGTCCGGGACCATGACCATCCATAGACATCCTGCATCGAAAAGGTTATTTTTCTAACCTGTGTGTCTGCTCTTACCTGCAGAGTTCAAGGAGGCATTCTCCTTATTCGACAAAGATGGCGATGGCACCATCACCACCAAAGAGCTGGGCACCGTCATGAGGTCGCTGGGACAGAACCCCACAGAGGCCGAGCTGCAGGACATGATCAACGAGGTGGACGCTGATGGTCAGTCAAACACAAAAGTGTCTATTATATAAGGACTCTATTCAGTCTCTTGTCAACGAATGCACAATATCAAGACACACGTTAAATGCATAACTGCTATTTTTCCTCATGAGTAGAGGGACAGTCAATACCCCACAAAGTAATCTGATCTGCTTTGCTGACCCTAAGCATGCAACACAAATATTGGTAGTCATAATCATCATATTCAGCCACAATTGACAACTTTGAAGATTTTATTTGAGATAACAGTGGTTTGGTGGGATAACCAAAGGAATTATTTTTCAATCTTTAACCAGGTTCATACTAATTACCATGTGGGAATGTTTTGGCTTTAGTTAAACAGTACAATTAAAATGTATTATGATATATGATAATGCTAAGAACATATTGCAGAAGACGCAACAATGAAACTGAAACCGCCTGTTGCCACAATGCTGCATATGTTTGACCACAACCAGAGACGCTTTTTCACAAACTTAAGTGAACGCCCAATCAGCTCTTATCCTGCAGCTTCATGGAGAGAACCCCATGGGTCTCCTTTACAAAAATGCAATACATCACATTTCAATGTTTTCTATTCAGATGAAGACAATTTGAGCTAGTCCCTGATCAAAAGCAGTACTAAACTGCATGCAAAAAATATATTCTATTATATATAATGACAAATATCTAAGTATCTAAATGAAGTTTCAATGTATGTAATATCATACCCACACGTCCCTTTCCAAACCCTGTGCACCCGACCGCTACACTGGGGATTAGCCGGGGCATGCGTGGCTGTCCGCATATCCAGCAAAGCTCACCTCTCTGCCTTTTACTACCAACTGTCCAGGCCAAGTGGCTCTCTTTGGCGGTGACGTGTCTGGCTGTGTCATGGTGTGTCAGCAGTTTAGTCAGCGCGCCTCCGTCACAGTTGTGATCTCAGGCCTGTGCACGAGCAGATGGGCCACAGAGAAAGTGACTGAGACCAGGTGCTCAGATAAACAAATAAGATCGACTGGCCTTCATAGAGGGAAGATGAACTTTTATTTGAGGAATTTATCAACAACCAGCCAAACAGACCTGGAGATGCCCCCTGAATTAGTTTTTATCATTTGATTCAATTTTATGTTAAATTGTTTTGTAATTTTCAAATTTGGTCCCTCTGGTGGTAGCATAGGGAGTTACATGTGGACAACATTTTTTTGGCTTGTCTTCTCACCAGTAATGGATAATGAAGTTTGTTAGTGTTCCATTTGGAGGGCACGCTGGTTCAAAACTGAAAGAAAACTATTTAACGTCAACCACTGATACCATGAATTGTAAATCTGTTTTAATCTCTTGGTATCTCATCAAGGACAAACTATTGATTACCAGTACTAACAGGAGGTTGCTTTAATCTAAGCCAATTTCAGGTCTAACCAGATCAATTAGGCTTTTTGGACAGATACAGAGGAAGACTGGAGTGCACCATCGTACTTTGTGAAAGATTTAATGTGTGGTGAGCTGGAATGGCTCCTCAGTTCAGAAAATAATGTACCGCAGTAAATCAAATTATTGAAATGAGATCATTCACTTCAACTTCTACATTTTGTGGATCCATTAGAATTGCCAGTCATGCATACTTCAGGGACCTACAGAATTCTTGATTTAGTAATTTTTCAATTCTCTTTTTCTACCTTGAGGTGAGGACTGCCAATTCTAGTCCTGATTTGATCTTGTTTTTGTAACGGTAGATGAAAAACAATATATTTCAATGGTAGTGATAAAGAAATGAAATGATTCTTAGGGTGACATTCTTATTTTGTAGAACACATGCCTCATTGCTGTTTAAGAGAGTTGGACGTATTGACGTTGATTAGAGAAGAGTGGTGGAAGTTTTCAGCATCCTGGGAGCTGGCTGTCCTTGCTGCCTGTGAGGGTGTTTGCTGCCAGTCGCCCAGCATTGCTCCGTCAGCTTATAGGATTTCGTAAATGAGACCTGCACTGATCAAAAGGAACAATCAATCGGGGCCCAGGCTCTCCCTATATTAGATCGTCTTCTTGCCACCATCATCCTCCACACCCTTCCCCTGCCCCCTTTGTCCTTCTACCCAATGGGCGACCATGTGCACTGGAACTATAAGGTGATATTGTTTAGATAATATTCTGTGTTCCCATTATTTGACCTTGTATTTTTTTCATAAAGTGCCTGACAAGTGGAAATACTAGAATAAATACGTTTGCGAATATGTATGTATGCACAGCTATTAGTTTTAGCATCTGGAGTCCCAAATCTTATCAAATGTATATCATATCTGCTGTGGATCCTTTGAGCTCTCAGCAAAATACGGAATCCTAAATTTAAGTGGAAACCCATTCGCAATACAAAACATTTTGATGTAATTACATTCTGTTTTAATCGTGCAGCCCACACACACTCGCCACACATCACCAACATCCCCTTGTTCTGCCTGTGCCTCCCTCGGCTGATGCAATCTAGGTCAGACGGCAGCACAGCAATGGAAAATAAAAGTGGTTACATAAGGCCCTCTCTCTGCAGCTTTGCACATCCAGTACCCACATCATCGACGGCCATGGCATCTCGGCTGGCCCATTGAAAATCAGCTTTATTTACCAAACAACGAGGCCACGCTGATGCATTACAATGAATGGATGGGAGGGGCAGGGGAGCTCCAGGTTCTGTACACTGCGCATCAACATCTGGATATAATGTTTCTGTTTCATACAACCAATGTTGGATTCTGGTTAAGATGCAATATTCCAAATCAGGAAGGGGAAATATGAAAACAATGGTCTCTGGAGTTTTTCTCCATTTGACCAGTGATGGAGCGCTTCATTTAAAAGATTAATGTCACCACTGAAATGTCTTCTTGTGATGACAGTATGTCTTCTGACTTTTATCGGCAGAGGGACTTTACAAACAGATCTTTGGAGAGGCGATTGTGCTCACATGTTTGTCTGAGAAATATAAACATTTTCATTAAATTAGTGAAACATTGGTTTGTGGAAATGGGCTATAAATGTAGTAGATATTTTTGGAAAATGTAACAATTGTGAAATCGAGGAAATCCAGCCAATGTATGTGGAAAAGTAAAATAAAAACATGAAGGAAAGGCACAACTTTAAGAAATTAAATAGGTTTCTTAGTTGTTTAGGAGAGAAATCAAAAGGGGATAGGAACTCAAATTAATAAAGAAGCGTGGTTCTGTGTGCAACAAACAAAAGTTAAGCTTTAGATTAAGTAATTTACTGCTGATGGGTCTTTCCTAATATAGTTCTAGGTACCAATTCAGCGATGATGTCACTGTACCTTAGGTAGGAAAAATTGGCAGGAAAAACAATAGATCTATCATATTTAAAGACAAAATTGCCCAGTCCTGTTGAGCTTCTCTCATTGTGTTCTTCATGTAAACATTATCCAAAAGGGGTGATTATAATCAAGATGTCGCCCAGCCCTGGTGGATTGTTTAAAGACATATTCAGGCATATTTTGTGCTTACATGTCTGTTAAATGAATTATTGTTCATCTAAATACTAAAGAATGGACATCTATACTATAGACTATAAATACTATTTTGACACGTTTGGTAGACAATTTAATTTATTCTTTCTCTACTTTTGACTTGTTTGCACCGAGAGCCAATGCAGTTTCCTAGTCTGTGACTTCCTGTTACTTGCACTGTAATAATAATGATTCTGATTCTTTGTTAAAAATATACATGACTTTGTTTAAATTTCTTTCATACAAACTGCCCACTTTAAACATCATTACAGCGTGATTGTATTTCTTTGCATGAGTATCAAACTGAAAACCCTTCCTCACATGTCCAATCTATTGTATCTTTAAGCTGATTATGTATGTTGGATAACCTTCCACTATGAGCAGACACGTAAGCCATCTTTATGCTTTGCACTGCCCAAAGATTCCCCCTGTCTTTGCGATGACCACACATGTGCCTCGGCATTGGATCGTTTGCGTCAGCGCCTCGTTTGTGTGTAATCGCACCATCTCCCACTCGGTTCACTCCCTCTATTCTCTCGTCTTCGCATCTTTTCTTCATCTGCCGCCCACTCCTGCTTCCATCCCCCTCCACCACTCTTATTTGCCTCCCACCATTTTCTCTTCCATCGCCTTGCCTCCATTCTTTTCCCAGGACAGCAAAATATGTTGTGAAAATTACTCCAGGGTATAGGCCTGGTTGTGAAGTAAAATTTTGTGATCAAAGTAAAGCTGATTATAGCTGCTGCGTGTTAGAAGTGGAACGAAAACAATACAAATTGCCGAACACCATTTTTATTCATGTGATGTATGATTTGTCAATATGTAATTGTCTCTGTTGGGCAAATGTAGTTGATGATAATTAAGCGTACTGTATGTTCCAGTGACGTTAATCGATAGACTTCCTGTTCCCGGTTTCATAGCAACACTGGGTCTTGGTTAGAAATGTAGCACATTGTGGACATAAGTGGACTTCAGCTTGCAACTCATTATCTTTACAGTATGTACCATGATTAACAGAATGTCTTGTAGCGGTGCTCTTCATAATTACATAATTTGAAGAAAATGTAATTATTATCAGTCAAATAATATAATTATATATATATATATATATATATTTGAGAATATAGTCTGTTCCCAATTTGTCTGTAACACTGATGTTTGCTGTCATTGCAGTGTTTTGGATAAAACAGTAGCTTCTAAAGACCTTCCCGTCCCCTGCCATGTAGAATACAAAGACAGTTGTCAATGTTACCTCAAAAAAATTTCGAGCACGATCTATTAATCAGTTCCTCAAACAAATGGTTTTTCATGTCCCTAAACGCCCACCCCTCAGACCCCCCGCGGCCGTGCTTGTTTCTTGGGTGCTACCAGCCGCCTCTGAGATTAGATATCAGGTTCTCACATTGTTACCCCCAGCCACAAAGCCACGAGGTCACCATCTGGCCCCTCGCATAACGCTACACTGTACGCACTTCATTCTGCCACTGTTAATCTGACCACAATCCCCTACTCGCCCCATGGCTAATCCGCCCGGGCACTTTCCCCTCGCTGCCTGTGACCTCTCCCCACAATCCCGCCTCAGATGTTTGTCATATATGTGTGTCGTTTTGGAGCCCAAGCATACCCCCCGCCCCCTCCCCCAGGGCGCATGATGGCTGTTCTGGTTTCTCTCCAGTGGCTCCTGTCGACCTGTAGACAGATCTCCTGTCAAGAGGCTCTGATCCCCTGCTAATCCTGTCTTGACAACAGCAACATGGTTATTGATCCAGCTGCATGCATAGAGGCCGTCACAGCTGCCTTTGTTTAGCCTGAGCAATAAGGCAAACTCGCTTTATAGTCTGCAAACTATCACTTTTGCTTTCTTTCTTTTATTACACTGACATACATCAACAGATTGGAGCCAGGAAGCTAACCTTTGAAGATACAATTGATAATAATTTGCAGCAAAAAAAAAAGGGAATTGAAGAAAAATGTGGATAATTACCACTGCATTAAGAAATCAGAAATGTCAATAAAGCGTCTTGTCAATCATAAAGGTGCACCTCTAGCTTTGCATTTTTCAAAGTGGTTTTTCAAGTGATTCATGCATGCTTGGTACTATTGCTCCCCCCTGGCGTTTCTGACCACTGTGACACGCTCACTGTTTTTTATGATTTACTTTGTTTGCAAATCTGAGTTGGTGATATGTGGAGGATGTCTGTTATTTTAGTTCTATATGAAAAAATGACTAAATCTGCTGTTTGCTAACTTAATCTGATGTCTGAGGTCCACAATGTTTAATGGTCCGAGTTTGACACAGGAGGTGCACGGTTGTGATGTATGGGTTTGCCTAAAGACCGCAGTGCGTACAGTGTGCTGTTACATTGTAGATGAGTGTCCACATGCTGCCGGCTCTGCCCACACCGGCCCATGTTGTTCCCAGGACTTCCCTGAGCACATCCATACCTCCTCCTCCACACTGTTTATCACAAGAGGAAGGTGCAAGCGTCTCTTCTGCCATCACTCACTGCTCGTGTTGCAACATCACTGACACTAATGTCCCGAGAGGAAAGATATGGTCCATATGATAACGTAAATCCTGCCTCGGTTCCCACACAAAACAGGAAATCAACATGTCCTTGACATGCTATGCTTTTCTATGAAGCTAAATATTATACGCTCTCAGACTCATTTGCATGAGGCTTTAGACCAAGGATTTCCAAAGTCCAAAGGGCCAAGGAGCCAATTGCGGCCCTCCACCTCATATATTTGTGACCCTCTGCCTTGGTAACCCGAAGAAGCATCCCGCCAACTTCAACTTTGTTAATATAGGCCTGATAAACGTTGTTGTGCAGCTCAGAACCTCTAGAATCCAGTTTGTGACTGTTTGGCTATAGCAACATTCGACTTTGCATCAAATTCTGTATGTAGCTTGTGAGAAAGTAAACATTTGTCATTCAGCCAACTTCAGCTCAGTATGCTTGTTAACTGCTTGATGAGTGATAACTAAACTCTTTATACATTATTCTATAGTATAGTTTTTTTGTTTCTTTTTTTTTGAGTGAACATGGGGGATTGTCCAAGCACTTGTGGTTTGATATCTGCAGTGTATACATGACTGAAGTCCAATGTGAAAAAAAAAAAGAATAAAAAATATTAGTTTTAAGAGATGAAGTAGGTATTTTGTGTATTGGAGACATTGTACAAGTTATATTACTAACAAAGAATGCATAACAACCTGTAAAATTGTAGTTTTGACATGGCATGTATCATTTTATTATAAAATAATCTTTAATAGCTGCCACACAATTCTAGTGTCTCTAGTTTGCATTTAGGTTGCGTGTGTTCTGAGTATCGTGCAGTTTTTGGTTGGTTGCTCTAATCGACTAAACGCTGGCTCATATTGTGCCTACTTATAATAATAATAGGTACTTATTGATGTGGCTTTTAAGTAATTGAAATTTCTGCTGATTAAATGTTCCCCCATTGATCACCCATTTCAGGTAATGGCACCATTGACTTCCCGGAGTTCCTGACTATGATGGCCAGAAAAATGAAGGACACAGACAGCGAGGAGGAGATCCGCGAGGCTTTCCGGGTATTTGATAAGGTAAATGCACTTTTAAAAGCCTAATGAGAAATTATAGATCGACATGCATGGTCAAACCAGTTCAGGGCAGTGATGTTTTTAATAGAAGGATTGAAATAAGTTGGCCTCTGGGGTTGTCAATCTCTGGTGTGTGGACTGAGCCAGCCACAATAATTACAATCGCAGGTTAACATCCGGTACATATCTGATCAACCTATGAAATTACTAATAGTGATGGTACCATCATTCCACCATATCTTTTGGCAATTTGCCAATATGGAGATGGCATTCTGTTAACCCATGTAGAAAGTGTATCTTAATCAGTGAACGTTAAAACGATGGTTGTAAAGCGGTAGTGCACTGCTCATGTCCGCTCATTAGTCGCCTGCTGGGGATTCGTCCTCCGGTTTGAAGCCTCTGGGATCCTTTTAGAGTTTTTACACCTGAATCCCTGCTGCCTTTTTCCAGGACGGAAACGGCTACATCAGCGCTGCAGAGCTCCGCCACGTCATGACGAACCTGGGGGAGAAGCTAACGGACGAGGAGGTGGACGAGATGATCAGAGAAGCAGACATTGACGGAGACGGTCAAGTCAATTATGAAGGTACGCTTACTTTTCTCTGTTGGACACTAGGGTTTCTCAATTTAATTATTTTGATATTGTGCAGGTGAGCGAGTATGTATGTGTCCAAGAGCACAGTGAGCCCAAGCCCTTAATCATTGACTAATTACATTTCTTTCATTTTTGAGTCATACATTTATATAAATGTTAGACTCAAAAAAAAAAATACACACACACCCCAGTTTTCAAATTCATAAATGAATAAAATGACAGCTGAACACCAACCGGAAACACCGAACCCAGTCGACTTCATGGTTATGATGAAAAGTCCTGGGCAGGATTGATTGTCCTACACATGTGCTGCAGCTCTACCAACGAAACACATGGTTTGGTCTGAAGCTGTCATTTTGCCTGGTTCTAAATCACAGAAGAAAATAATCAAACAGTGTTGACAGCTGGTCAATAAGCCCCTTTTCAATCAAGCAGCCCCAGAATTAACATCTTAGAGCTGTTAGTTGGTTTAAGTAAATGTGCAGACAGATCAAAACTGAATCAAACCGTTACATGCAAGTGCCATGACTATAATAAATTAAAGTAAACTCCCAAATCCTAGGGAGAATTTGCCAAGCAAACGAGAAGTCTATGAAGCAATACCATACAGACCTCTGATTAGAAAACTAAATTAGGCTGCATTCAATAGTGTTTTCCAACTGACGAGATGGAAGATGGCCTTTAAATAAAATTGGAGCCTGGCAATCTAGAACATTTTAATTCGAGCTCGATGTGTATTTCTCTGCGGTAATGACTGTCCAGACACGTACAATCAGTTATTAAATGCATTGCTATAGATATGCGTACAGCTCTTCCAGTCTCCTTGTTAGTTTGCCAGAAGCTCTCCACTGTCCCTCCCCCTCACACGAGAGGACGCGTTCATTTCAGGCTCGTTGGTACATTATGAACACTCCATAAGTCTTGGCTGAAACGTGTCCTACTTATTCACTCCCTTTGTACTGAAGCCAGAATGTGGACAGTGTTGAGAGAAGCCTCCACTGTATTCCTTTTTTTTTTTTTTTTTATGGACAAGATTATTAAGCGCAGTCATTTTTTTCTTTATCAATGTTTTTACAAATGTACATATTTCCTATGCATCTATGTAATGGAAAATGTTAAAACATGTAGAGAAATGTTGATTATTTTTCCCCCCAAAAGTTCCCACAATCTCCCATAAAAAATGATGCACCAATGATTGGCCTCACTGTCAATCATTGTGTTCAATCACATGTGTCCGTCTCCAGCCGCACATGTGCATATGGTCACAGGTTTATGTAGATGGTTAGTAGATAATGTGAGTTCTTTCTGTTTTTGATCAAAATTGGAAAAGCGGCAAAAGCAAAAAGACTGCTCTAGAGGGATCCTATAAGAAGTGACAAACAGTAGAAGAGGGAATGCCTTAATTGTCCTAAATACCTTTTTAAGTTATCCAGAAGCTAAAATGTAGAATATTTATTCTTAGGTGAAAGGCAGTGCTGTGTAAACAGCCTTTTAATCAATTGGGTTTAATGAGATGAACATAGAAGCATGTTGGAATAGAGACACTAATTAGCATGTGTCCTGAACCTGCTCGGCTTGATTAAAAAATGAATAAAGCGTTTAACAATTTATGAGGGAGTGCTCTAGAGGCTGATATCCTCTTGTCTTGTGTTCTCTTTACAGAGTTTGTACAGATGATGACTGCAAAGTGAAGCTTGCCCGCCCTGCCCTGCCCCTTCTTAGAAGAAAAAAAGAAAAGAAAAAATCTACAAAAAAACAACAAATGTTTTACTTACCTCTTGGAAAAATATTCATTTATTCATACTGTTTCTGTATAGAAAATGATTGAATGTTGAAATAAAATATCCTTCTGTCCACACAGGAAAATATAAAAATATACAAAAAATATCTGCATGAAAATGATGGTTAGTGATCCTGTCCCCTCCCCCGGAGCTCAGTTTAGTATCAGTACTTATCAATGAAATAATACAACAACCCTGTAACTATGACCTTCAGACTAAAGCTAAGCATTTGGCCAACTCCTTCCAGTTCCATTTGCTCGTGGTAAATGTCGGGGCTGGCCATTGTTCTTGTTTTCTGTTGTTCATGCATGCAGCTTGAGACCGGAGCACTAACCCTGCCCACTCCTCCGGGCGACCAGAGCGTGCTGATTCCACTATAAGCTGTCCTCTTGTTGGTTTGGTACAGTTTTTTTGTATTTGGACAGAACCCTGTACTGTTAAGATGAGAGATTAACTCAAGCGTAAAGTGGAATGGGACTTAATCATATGCTAGATAAAAAGAGAAAAAAAATCAATGTATAAAAATACATTTCTACGGAAGCTGCGAGTGGTCATGGATTGTACATCTTCCCTCATTGGTATCTTGTTAACTTTTAACCACCATGGATTTACTTTGAGACTATAACATGGGTTGTTTTAACGTGTAATCAACAGTGGCTGGCCTATATTTGAACAGCGAGGATAAGTGAAAACCTAGATTTTCATCTGTGCATGTTGCCATTTGTTGGTCTCTAGCCAAGGGGAACATTAGATTGTCCTGCTGGGTGCTGTCCGTGGTTGAGTTGTTAAAGAAGCAGCACATGCACCATGTCTTGAGCCCGACTCTAACAATTTGCTGAATGTCCTCCTTTCTCTCACTCACATATTATACTGTCCTGTTGAACCAATGGGCCCAAAACCTGTTGAGAACAAGATTTTCACCCTGGATAACCTGAGCGAAGAAAGGGAAATGCTTGAGCTGGACTGTATCTAGAACACCCGAGGGAACTGTCCTGAATCCATGGCTGTGAACGGCTTCTGTTTTTTTCAAATGTTTAGCATGTTCTTTTGTTTTTGTTATGGTTTTGGACGGCCATCTTAGTAGTTGTGCGTCCTGCCCTCTAATGGAGGGAGGACTAAAGAGTCTTACGGTGAGCTTTATTTACTTTCTTTTTCGCTGAGATGGAGTGTCTGTCCTCTTTTCTTGCAAGAGAGAATCACTGGCCTTCACGTTTCTTTTTCTTCTGTTTGTCGGCTCAGACGAGGGCAGGGCACTGTGGAGCTGTCAGCAGCTGACCAGCGCCTGTGTCCATCTGAGTTCAGTTTACATTCATTCCAAGTTGTACATGCTAGTCTTTTTTTTTTTTTTTTCAAATAAAAGACCATGAACTTAAAAACGTCTTATGTCTCTTTTTTTTTTAGATTGAAACATTCTATGGTGAAATTCTATAACGGCATAACAAGTCTGTATGTTGTTTACCAACTAGACTAATGTGTCTAATAAATGATTTGAAGCATCTGTCAGTCCCTGTCCGCTATCATTGGGTACAACTGTTCCATTACAGCGCACTCACTGGGGAGCGGTGTTTGCTCTCACTGAACACACACATCCATGACGCCTCTCCCTGCAGACCGCCCGTTGCTAGGCAACAGGGCCATGCTGTAACGGGGATGATGGGGGTTTTGAAAAGGCAATAGGAATCTGAACAAACCTGCTCGCAGAGAAGGCTCCATGTTGGCGTGTCCTAGTAAGGCAAACCAGGCCACACGGCTCGCAGCACGCAGTGCAGACGATTCCTAAAAGACCCAAAAGTCAAGGTAGCACTACATTGTTCTACTATATTTGGCCTGTAATCTGTCCATGTAAGGAAGTGAGCAAATATGGTCTCTCCACCCACGGACAGAGGCAGGATCAGCCATGAATCTTACTGAGCACTCATATAAATCTCTCAAATATCTACACCTTATCCATGTGGCAAGTGATGGATAATATGGGTGTGTTGGCATAGCAACATTCCAAATAGGCTACAAATACTGAATGTTTATAATAGCTCAAAGTCCTTAAACTTATGTAACCAGAAAATAGTAATTTGACTGAAACAAATGTCCTCATAATTCAAGGGAGGTTTGTGAAGCATAGTGAGTCAAGTCTGTCTCAGGTGGATGTTTATGGTTCAGCTTGACCCACCCTGTAGCTCTGAGAAAGAAAAAAAGGCAGCTGTCTTGAGGTAGGCTTGACAGCTGGTAGATAAAGTCCATTCTCACTTAAAATAGTTAATTAGTATGCATCTAGGGCGTGAGTCTGCACATTCCTTGAAAAAGGCAAAGGCCTGGGTGAGAGGGACACCTGAGCACCCAGGGCGTTAAATTAAGCACATCAATATTTCACGTGTAAATGAAGCAGCACTCCGCGGAGGCAGAAACACGAGAGGGATTGACCGGCCAGAGCTATCGGGTGTCGGACACATGGGCTGCCAGCTCCCCCAGGAAGAAGAGCAGTCCTCACAGCAGCACCACTGTGGACAGAGAGCCCCCTGACTTGTTTGGGTCAAAGTAGATAATGTGTGTGTGTGTGTGTGTGTTATTTTCTGGAGAGAGGGAGGGTGTGGGTGGCAGTGTGTGGAGAAGAGCAGATTACTGTCTTGCTGCATTAGGGAGAGAGAGATGACCAAGAGTGGAGACACAAGCTTCTAGCCCATTCTGCAATAGACTCCAGGCCTGATGCTTCCTATTTTAGCACCTGTTAGTCCTGGTTCTTTCCTTGCTTTGCTTATCAGACATTATATTTAACATTTTATAAGATATAGGCCTATCTAATTCTTTTTGTATGTAAAAGTAAAAGAAAATAAGTTGGCTGAGTGTGCTAACCCAGGCCTTTGTGTGAGGACATTCTATTTCTCCTAGTGTCTGGATGGGTTTCCTGTGGGCGCTCCAGTTTCTCCCACCAGCCAATAACATGCACCATAGCAAAAAAAATCCTCCAGCTCCTATCGTTCACTGTCACCAAGCTGAGCATTAACATCCCTGGGTCAAGAATGGGTCAAATGCTGATGACAAATTTCCCAACGCCAAAAATACAGTATAGGCTGTACTTCAACCATATGTTGTGTGTGACAACATATGCAGTTTTTGGTAATGGGCGGCACGGTAGCTGAGTGGATAGCACTGTTGCCTCTCAGCAAGAAGGTTCTGGGTTCAAATCCCAGTTGGAACAGGGCCTTTCTGAGTGATATATCTCCCCATGTCTACGTAGGTTTCCTCCGGGTACTCCAGTTTCCCCTACCACTAAAAACATGTGCAATAGTTCAGGGTGAATGAGTGTGTGTGTGTGTTTGTGAGTGTGAATGTGGGACAACGGATACAAATTAGCCCTTGGCTACCATCTGGAATGATGTGTTCATTAACATGTACTGTCCCAACCAATTAAACAATAAAATAAAATAAATAATAATGATAAATGTATGAATGCAACAAAAATGAAAACAGTAATCGGAAGGAGTGTTGCAGTCCGTCTTAGAAAATGTGTGTAACTGGGTAATTCTCTTTCGATTGGGTTACAGTACTACAAATATGCAATTTAATAGTATATGTCTTGTGTTGCCATGTCACTGCCCATAATTTAAACAAATAAATGAATAAAATAATAGTTTGTTTGTAATTTTACTCTTCTATGTTTTCATAAATCTTCTGTGAACTTCTAAACCATATCTGTGCAGTTATGTGTTTAAAAGAGATATTACTCATTTAAAACAAAAAAAGGTTAGATATACATGTACTGTGTAGATGCCCAAAAGGTGGGAAAATCTTGTATTAATAGAGTAAATATAATCTGCAAATGTAAACCTAATAATTCTTAGCTCATTACTCACATAAAAACCATGCCATTTCATGATTGCATTGTTCTAAACACATACTTGTACACTGCACACCTTTGCAAGTGCGATGCCACCTAGAATCTATCTAAACAGTAGTGTTAGCAGCCTGCCTGTCTCGATAGCGTCAACAGTTCAGTTCTGTTAGCACATTGTCACCAGCTGTAATAAAGAAGAGTCCTTTTATAGCTCACCAAGCTCCATCCAAATTACACACATCCACAGATCTTCGCTGATGCCAACATTTCTCCAGATTTCATCGTCCTGGCGCTCTCCTGGGTCTCTCCCCAGACTTTAGACATTATTATTTTCTCCCTTTAAGCAGTCTTTTGTTTGCTCATTTCCTCTGTATTTTTATATGCCTTTAAACCACAACTTTTGCTAATTAACTGTATGCAGCAGGCAGCGACACTGTGGATGCAACCAGGTCAAAACCATAGACTGTAAATAAGGATGTTTATGGACATTTATTAATATTTAGTACCAATGGCTCTTGTGTGTTTGTTATTTTTGCCTTTCCTGTGTTTGAACTGTTTGTTTCTCTTTCTGTTATTGATGAATCGACAACGTTGTAAAGTCCACAGTAGCAGTTGTGATTTAGGGTTATATTAATACAAATCAATTACATTAATTTGAAGGACCATATTACAGAAAAAAGATACAGGGACGGGAACTCAAAATAAATCAGCCCCCAGTGCAAAATAAAATCAATAATAGTGTCTAATAGCATTTCAAAAATAGTGTTCTGTATAATGTTGTAAGATACCGATTGTTTTACATAAAAATTGGGGAATATTCCTGTATATGAATAAACATGGAATATTATACATCAATATATATATACATCACCATTTCCAACACCACACAAGATTATTCATGAATTTGAAGGCATCATCGGAGTCAGATTATGATAGCTTGTGTGTCTGAGCAGAGTAAATATGACACTTCCCAACCGCAATTATGGATCTAGGATTGTTTAGACCTGTGTTTTGTCAAAATGACTGTTTGTGTGTGGGTGTGTCTCTGGAGTCCTGCATGTGATTGGAGGACCACTGGGTG